CAATTGGCATTGTGTCCATGAAGAGGAGTGGTCTTTATCTAGGGCAGAGGTCTCCAAACTTTCCAAACAAAGGGTCAGTTTACTGTCCTTCAGGGTTTAAGGGGCCAGACTGTGACCAGTGGTAGTGTGAAAATGCCCCAACGTCAATGGGAGTAAACAATGTTCCATCGTTGGTATCAGTGGGAGGAATGGTGCCCCACAATTGGTGTCAGGGGAAGGAAACATGCCCCCCATCATCGGTATCAGTAAATGGAATAGTGCCTGGACCAAGGCATCACTGAGCTCCTGAGGTGCAACCTGGTGGTGTTGGATGGACCGAAACATGATATCCCAGAGGCATTCTATTGGATTTAGGTCAGGCAAGCATGGGGGCCATTCAGTCATATCGATTCCTTCATCCTCCAGGAACTGCCTGCATACTCTCGCCGCATGAGGCCGGGCATTGTCGTGCACCAGGAGGAACCCAGGACCCACTGCACCAGCGTAGGGTCTGACAATGGGTCCAAGGATTTCATCCCAATACCTAATGGCAGTCAGGGTGCCATTGTCTAGCCTGTAGAGGTCTGTGTGTTACTTCAATGCAAAAACTCCTCCCTTTGACTTCAATGTGAAACTCCTGTCAATAGCAATCCTATGTGAACACGTATCTCTAGATGCCACTCTACTCTATCACTTGCGAGTCTGCAATGCACAGCTAGAAACTCGCACAGGACCCTTTTCGTAATGGCACTCAAAACACAATGCGAGTGGATTGCATCTGTGTGAACCACCTCAGTAGGAACACAAAATATCTAGCCTGTCATTCGAGTCCGTGAGTTTGAAAACGCATTCTGAATTGTATATGTGTGAATCAGGGTGGCCCCATTCACACCTGGTCATTCTGGGATTGCGGCAGAATCACTGTGATCACAAAACACAGGTTCACCTATGGTTCGGTTTTGCCACGATTGTCACCATGTGAAGCTTGTCGCCTAAAAGTTGCCTTGCCCTGGGCGATGACAACTCACACTACACTAAAAATAATCTGGCTCCTAACTTTTTTAGCTGCGGCTTTGACCGTGGCATGGTTGGTGGTGCCAGACGGGCTGGTCTGAGCATTTCAAAAACTGCTGATCTCCTGGGATTTTCCCGCACAACCATCTCTAGGGAAATCCAGACTCATCAGACCAGGCGACGTTTTTCCAAACTTCTGTTGTCCATCAGACAGAAGGTCCACAGTTCAAGGAACCCCAAGCAACCTCTGGAGGAACCCTGATTAAGAATGGCTCATCTATACACTCACCGGCAACTTTATTAGGTACATCTTGCTAAGAAAATCTCCCCCACACCATGACACCACCAGCCTGAACCATTGATGCAAGGCAGGATGGATCCACCACACCATGACACCACCACCACCAGCCTGAACCAATGATACAAGGCAGGATGGATCCACCACACCATGACACCACCACCACCAGCCTGAACCGTAGATACAAGGCAGGATGGATCCACCACACCATGACACCACCAGCCTGAACCATTTATGCAATGCAGGATGGATCCACCACACCATGACACCACCAGCCTGAACCGTAGATACAAGGCAGGATGGATCCAGGCTTTCATGTTGTTTGCGCCAAATTCTGACCCTACCATCTGAATGTTGCAGCTGAAATCGAGACCCCTCAGACCAGGCAACGTTTTTGCAATCCTCTATCATCCAATTTGGTGATCCTGTGCAAATTGTAGCCTCCGTTTCCTGTTCTTAGCTGACAGGAGTGCCCCCCCCGGTGTGGTCTTCTGCCTGCTGTAGCCTATCTGCTTCAAGGTTGGATGTGTTGTGCGTTCAGAGATGGTATTCTGCATACCTTGGGTGTAACGAGGGGTCATTTGAGTTACTGTTGCCTTTCTATCATCTCCAACCAAGTCTGACCACCTCTGACACCGACAAGGCATTTTCCTCCACACAACTGCCCCTCACTGGATATTTTCTCTTTTTCGGGCCATTCTCTGTAAACCCTAGAGATTGTTGTGCGCAGGGGCGGACTGACAACTCATGGGGCCCCCGGGCAATTGGGGATCATGGGGCCCCTGTGTCCTTGCCCACACTCAAAACACACCCAAAAAAGCCTATAAAAGGTACCAGGGGCATTTTATGGGGCCCGCTACTGACCCCGGGCCCTCGGGCACTGCCCGAGTGCTCGAATGGTCAGTCCGCCCCTGGAAACTTGTGCGTGAAAATCCCAGTAGATCAGCAGTTTTTAAAATACTCAGACCAGCCCTTCTGGCACCAACAACCATGCCACGGGCAAAGTCACTTCAATCCTCTTTCTTCCCCATTCTGATGCTCAATTTGAACTTCAGCAAGTTGTCTTCACCACGTCTAGATGCCTAAATGCATTGACGTGCTGCCATTGAATGTGGCCAGTGAGTGTGTGTGTGTATATGTATGTATATGTGTGTATATATATATGTGCCTGCGTGGGTTTCCTCCGGGTACTCCGTTTCCTCCCACACTCCAAAGACATGCTGGTAGGTTAATTGGCACCTGTCTAAATTGTCCCTAGTATGTGTATGTATGAATGTGAGTTAGGGACCTTAGATTGTACGCTCCTCGGGGGCGGGGACTGATGTGAATGTACAATATATATGTAAAGTGCTGCGCAAATTGACGGCGATATAAAAGTACCTGAAATAAATAAATAAATATATACACTCGCACTTTACTAGCTGATGGTGGCCATTGGAAAACCTGCCGTGTTCCTTCTCTTTTCCTAGAAATACATTAGTACAAGAAAGACACATTGCATTCCGAGACATTATTTTTATTCTTTAAAATGCATCTCTCCCTATTTCCGTGGACTCTGTATACAGTATGTAAATGTCTGTATTGTATTTTATAAATGCGACGTGGGAAACTAAACAGCATTCTGGGATTCACATTTTGTTGCCTATATTTTATATATATATATATATATATATATATATATACACATATATACATTCCACATATACACGCTGAAATGGACTGAATGCACTCAAATGTATGCAAAAATGTTGATAAATGCACCTTTCTGAATGAATTTGCATGCTTAATGCAAACGTAAACGTAAGTAGACTAAGTGTGTATCCAGGGATAACTCCATAGCAATACAATGCCAGTAGTATTAAACCCCCCCAGAGTTTTTCAGTGTACCACACTGAACACAATAAAATAAACATTCCCCGGTGATCTATTTGTTACAATTCTTATCTCAGGACTTGGAGTGTACAACTTTAAATGCCACTGGCTCCTGCTCTTTCATTGCCACTTCCCTGAACCTTCAGTCTTCACAGGAAAGAGTTAACAGTGGACAATGCAGTTTGCAGTCAGGCTGTTAGAAGGGAGGGGGGGCAGGGGCCATCCTCGGCTATGGCGCTGTGTGTTTCTATTGATGCACACGGTGTATGGGAGGGAACACAACTCTAGTCCCTGCATGCAAGAGTGGCTCCATAGGATTCTGCAAGAGAGAGGAACCACCCTGAGACAGGAAACATACCTGGGTCAGAGGTCCTAGCACTGGATTAAAATGGAACTTAGGCAAGGATTGGGCAGTATGTGGCTAAATGGTTAGTACTTCCGCCTGGCAGTACTAGGGTCGTCGGTTCGAATCCCAGCCATGGCACCTCCTGCCTGGAGTTTGCATGTTCTCCCCGTCCCTGCGTGGGTTTCCTCTGGGTACTCCAGTTTTCTCCCACACTCCAAAGATATGCTGGGAGGTGAATTGGCTCCTGTCTAAATTGGCCCTAGTATGTGTATGTATGAATGTGAGTTAGGGACCTTAGATTGTATGCCCCTTGAGGGTTAGGGACCTTAGATTGTACGCTCCTCGGTGGCGGGGACTGATGTGAATGTACAATATATATGTAAAGCGCTGCGTAAATTGATGGAGCTATATAAGTACCTGAAATAAATAAAGGATTACTGCATACTCAGTAAGTTATTAAATCGGCTGCTAAAATATTAAGGGTGTAATATCACTTTAAGGGGCTCCCCTGCCTTTCTACACGCTGTCCCTTAGGCAGCCCATATATACGTATGCATACTCACGTGTATTTGTATACACTGTATTGGGACGCCTGCCTTTCCACGCGCATGAACTTTGATGGACTTTTGCCCAGGTGGCCACCTATCACGGGACCACGCTTGGAGTCACTGAGCTCCTGAGAGCGACCCATTCTTTCACCAATGTTTGTAGAAGCAGTCTGCATGCCTAGGGGCTTGATTGTATACACCTGTGTCCATGGAGGGGATTGGAACACCTGAATCACATGATTTGGAGGGGATTGGAACACCTGAACACATGATTGGGAGGGGATTGGAACACCTGAATCACATGATTGGGAGGGGATTGGAACACCTGAATCACATAATATGGAAGGGATTGGAACACCTGAATCACATGATGTGGAGGGGATTGGAACACCTGAATCACATGATTGGGAGGGGATTGAACACCTGAATCACATGATATGGAAGGGATTGGAACACCTGAATCACATGATTGGGAGAGGATTGGAACACCTGAATCACATGATATGGAGGGGATTGGAACACCTGAATCACATTATATGGAGGGGATTGGAACACCTGAATCACATGATATGGAGGGGACTGGAACACCTGATACTAATGATTGGGAGGGCTGGCCGAATACTTTTGACAATATACTGAGTGTGTGTATATATATATATATACAATATATGTGTTATTATATATATATATATATATATATATATATATATATACATATTATACATTTAATTTCTACAACAGAGTTTGCTAAATGCAAATTTTTACCTGCATAAATGACTATGGAGTGTGATGGCACTGGGAACCATAGACTATGGCTGTCATTACACCCTTGCCTCCATTGAAACAAAAAAATAATTTCACATTGAATATTATGGGATTTGTACGAACTGACTTTCCTGTTATTCTATGGTTTACCTTATAATTGTCTTCTCCATCCAATCAGATGTTCTTGTCCCGATGGGTTCGAGGGCCCCACGTGTGCAGTAAACAGAGATGAATGCAAATACAGCGACTGCTATAATGGCGGCACTTGCGTGGACGGATTAAACACCTATACTTGTCTGTGTGCAGCACAATTCACAGGTAATTTAATCTACGGATTTCCTTTTTTTTCCTTACATTGAGCCGGTGGTCTGCAATAGGTGATTGTCTCGCGTTTTCAAGCGTAGGTGCCCCTGTTTGTTTCACGGCTACCCAGCAGCACCTGCCATTCCAGGCCCACGGGTGGGACAGTGGGGTCTGAAAAATATGGAGGGGGCGAAGGACCATTTTCTTCTCCAGGGTATCTGCTTTCAGAAAATATATAATGTTTTGGAGGGTTTTAATCAATCTTCAGGCCTAAAATGTGCATTCTATCACGTTTGTGTTTTGTTGCTGTTATTTCTACTTGTCATCCAGGAGCCAAAAGCGCTTGCAGATGTGTATCATTTATTTTTATCTGTACCTTCAAAAGCAAAACAATTTAAGTTCTCTCTCACCCATCTGCTTTTTTTTTTTACTCTCTCTAATGACAGGTGAATACTGTGAGCAGTCGGTGGACTTTTGTTCTGCAGAGCTCAATCCTTGTCATCCCGATTCCAAATGCGTTTCAACTGCAGAGGGTCCAAAGTAAGTGCGCCTTTTTTTTTTGCAGTAAATGCACATTAAGACTAGGCTGTCCCCTCTGTAGTCTTATGCTCTTCTAATAATGAGTTCCGAGTAGCCCCCTTGGCTTTTAACCAAGTGACTAACTTCCAAGCCGCCAGCTGCCAGCCTTCTTTTAGGATGAAATGTAAAAAAATGGTGCCATCACGGTCAGGGTTCAGGCTTGGAGACCAGTAGCTATAGCAGTAGAAAGGCTCCCAACGATCAGCTGTTTAAGTACTCAATAAAGTCACCGTGGCAGATGACGTGAGCTCACATGAGGTGAGGGTCAAAGCATTTAATTACCAGAGATCCTCATGGTGGAGTTGGGTTTTGCTGCGTGTTAGTACCAGATCACGGTCCTCAGGAGGTGAGATAGCCGGGGTCCAGTAGCAGATATAGCAGGCTGGAATCAAGTAGAATTGTAGTCAAGGAACAAGCTTTAGATTGGTAAGAAGTGGTTGCAGGTTGGGATCAAGCAGAAACATAGTTAGTAAACAAGCCAAAGGTCGATAGTAAGTGGTTGCAGGTTGGGATCAAGCAGAAGGTTAGTCGAGGAACAAGCTACAGGTCGGTAATGAGTGGCTGTGGGTTGGGATCAAGCGGAAGCGTACTCGAGGAACAAGGCAAAGGTTGTTAACAAGTGGTTGCAGGTTGGGATCAAGCAGAAGCGTAGTCGAGGAGCAAGCCAAAGGTCAGTAATGAGTGGTTGCAGGTTGGGATCAAGCAGAAGTGTAGTCGAGGAGCAAGCCAAAGGTCAGTAATGAGTGGTTGCAGGTTGGGATCACGCAGCAGAGTAGTCGAGGAGCAAGCCAAAAGTCAGTAATGAGTGGTCGTAGGTTGGGATCAAGCAGAAGCATAATCGAGGAACAAGTCAAAGGTCGGTAATAAGTGGTTGCAGGTTGGGATCAAGCAGAAGCATAGTTGAGGAACAAGTCAAAGGTCGGTAATAAATGGTTGCAGGTTGGGATCAAGCAGAAGCATAGTTGAGGAACAAGTCAAAGGTCGGTAATAAATGGTTGCAGGTTGGGATCAAGCAGAAGCGCAGTCAAGGAACAAGCCAAAGGTTGGTAATGAATGGTTGCAGGTTGGTATCAAGCAGAAGCATAGTCAAGGAACAAGCCAAAGGTTGGTAATGAATGGTTGCAGGTTGGTATCAAGCAGAAGCATAGTCAAGGAACAAGCCAAAGGTCAGTAATGAATGGTTGCAGGTTGGGATCAAGCAGAAACGTAGTCGAGGAACAAGCCAAAGGTCAGTAATGAATGGTTGCAGGTTGGGATCAAGCAGAAACGTAGTCGAGGAACAAGCCAAAGGTCGGTAACGAATAGTTGTAGGTGGGATCAAGCAGAAGCATATTCAAGGAACAAGCCAAGGTCCATAATGAGGAGTAGTGAGGATATGAGAGGAAGCAAGATAGACAAGAGTGAGATATTAGCTGGAGGGAGCACAATAATCTGGCAAACAGGAAGCACAATGGAGTGGCTTAAATAGGAAGTTCATGGGAGGATCAAGGATTTCAAGGTTCACAAGACACAAGGTACAAGGCAAGATTGTCCAAAGGATCAGACAAGGTGCTGTCCAGCATCTCAGGTGGCTAGCTTAGCATAAAGAGATAGTGCTATACTCAGCAGAGGTTGTGAGGTCGGATCCCGGTCCTGATGCATGGCCATGTGATAAAAGATAATTAAATATCTTTTACCCAAAACGTACGGAGAAAGAGATTAGGAAATTGGACAGTAGGTGAGCTTGTCCCATGGTTTCAGTGTGTCAGTCTTTATATAATATCATTCGTCTTTTCCAAGCCGTTGAAGATGAAGGAATGTATTTTTTCTGTTCCAATATTTACATTTTTACTTTCAAAGAAAAGCAGAGCAACAGTATTGCCCATGTGTGGGTTGAGTGAAACCTTCAGAAACATTGGCAAGGCTAGGGGGGCCTAAAGGGTGGTAAGTAGCTAATAGGAGATAATCATAATACAATATAATACATTTGCCATTCCCAGTGAATGTCCCACGTTACATGGCCCATATGCAAAAAAATAGAGGCCAGTGCTAGCAATGGGGGAAGGGAAACAGGGGGTAGGGGAATGAGTAGCTGTTGAAACTATTAGAGGGAGGGAAAAGGAAGAAAGAGAAAATTGCTTGGAGCAAAGTGCAAGGTAGAATACTCATAGGCAACTGAGGCTGGATGAATTCAATGTGGGCAATGCATACCGAAGCCAAGTCACTCAGACTTTGAGGATTTTCGTTGCGAGTCAGTGAGGATACTAGAGAGTTTGCCATTGACATGCGGCATAATCATATGTTGTTTGCCTTTTGGTGAAAATTTGCAGCAAAGTGGGAAGGCCTGGGATGGGGAGGTGTAAACGTACTATCCCAGGCTCTTTGCATATGGTGACATGAAACTGAGTTTGGAAAGGGCTAAAAATTCTAGACCAAAATGATCTGATAAAGCCAACACATTTCTGGAAGGTGTAACCCCTGAAATGCATTGGCTTTACCTATTATACCTTTATTCAGTAAAAATCTGCATTTGATCTCTAAGTGTCATGAACTTTTGTACTGGGCGCTCCTCAATACCCATCCCAGAGTTTGTCGTCTACTGAGCGTACTCTGTGAGGCTATCAGAGAGGCAGCAGTCCAGAACCTAAGCAAGGTCTTTGCACATCAGCCCCTTTGAAGGAGGACTGTGTTCTATGCTATATTCACTATATCAAGACCTTGCTTCTAGTAGTCCAGCGCTTTCACACCTACACACCACTCAAGACCAAAATGATATCAATGTCCGGCAAGACTACCATGTGTGGAGTAGGTTGCCTATATGACCTCATCGTTGGAAACATCTGGCACTGTAGGGTGGAACCGCTTTCACAATCAGCATCCAGCACTGGCATCTGTAACGGAACCAGACCCACACCGCATTTGTGTATTTCCGTTATAATGCAGCTTCCCTGTCCGAACACAAATCCCCGGACACCACCGCAGGAAACAGACAGCACCAGACTCTTCTTAAGACAGGAAGTCAACTGCTTTATTTTTACGCAAACACAAGTTATATACACAGGGCGGGGAAACACAACCAGGAACAGGAAACACATTATCTTCACCCCGCCCCATCAGTGGGAAGGGCTACAGAAACACCCCCCACCCAACCAAGACACAGAACAATGGGATGCAGCACATGGCAGTGAACAATGGACAACCACATGGCAGTGAACAATGGACAACCACATGGCAGTGAACAATGGACAACCACCTGGCCGTGAACAATGGACAACCACCTGGCAGTGAACAATGGACAACCACCTGGCAGTGAACAATGGACAACCACATGGCAGAGAACAACGAACAATCCCCACACCATTACACAATACTATGACATTCACATTCACACCCTGTACCCCTCAACAGGCACAGGGTGGGTTAAACATAATGAAGGGAACATGAGCTGACACAGGGGTCCCCCCACCTCCAAAAGTCACTCCCGTCACAGCATCCATTTTACAAACTCCGCAATGAAGCACATGCATTGACTTTGAGCCTATAATGTCACCAGCACATCAATTTCGGACAAGACCACCACGTGTGGAGTAGGCTTATATGATCTCATTCCTGGAAACATCTGGCACTATAAGATGGAACCGCTATACACAATCCGAGTCAGCACCCAGTATCAGAATCCATTTTTTCTAATTCAGCAACAAAGCCCAACCAACTTCACTAACACATCAATTTCAGAGCACCATGGGTGGAGTAGGTCACCCTATATGACCTCGCCCTCGGAAACATATGCCACTATAGGATGGAACAGCTTTCACCAGAGCCAGCACCCAGTATTGGAACCCATTTTTCAAACTCAAGCCCATCCATTGACTTGGAGCTTATAACGTCACCAACACATGAAGCATATATTGACTATGGACTATAAAATTAGGGGCAAGGCTTCTTAACACAATCTGGGCTACTGAGTAAGGAAGAAAGTTTAATATCCAAACACAATTTATCATCTAATAGATTTTCTTCATTAAACTAATATGGTTGGTTGGTATTGTATAGAACTCATCATAGCTCTTTGCAGTGTCTTGCAAACACTACTGACTCTCGTGATCTCCTGGTTTTGTCTCGTAGATGTGAATGTGCACCAGGCTATGGAGGAGAAAACTGCAGCCTCAACCATGACGACTGCCAAGACCACCGCTGCCAGAACAACGCCAAGTGTGTGGATGAGGTGAACGGCTACTCCTGTCAATGTACAGAGGGATACAGGTAAGAGCACGGATCTAAGGCTCACTAATCATCTTCTACCACCATTGAATGCAATGAGATACACTGAACTCCATGAATGAAACTTTATTGCATATTGGTCAGCTTGGACCGGTGTAAGTATGCATATTTCATACCTGTGGGACTGCTGGGGAAGCAATCACTGTAGTATTTGGCACTACTACAGTGATCACCATGATCTTCCTGGTCCTGTGCTAAGTGGCTGCTCCATTGCACACCGACCACAGGGGGACACTTGCTTGCCACGGCCACCATCCACAGAACACCTTGTATTTTTTTCAGTGAATAAAAGATGTTCTCTTATTGGATGAGGTAGAGGTGGTGACACCATCGCTCCTCCTCCTCTCCATCTCGTTTATTCAGAGGATGCCTTGTATTCAATAAAAAAATACAAAGCTTTCTGCAAGTGGCGACCTGCTGTGGTCAGTGTATAGTGGGGCAGCCACAGGACCCCAGCAGATTGCAGCACTATTTCTACAGTGATTGGTCAGCTTCCAAAAAGGCCCCTTAAGTATGAGATATGGATACCACTTACCCTGTGCCAAGCTGGACCAATGGAACTATGAAATAAAGGTTGTACCTGGAGTTCAGCTTTAACCAGTTGAGTTCCAGAGGCAATTTCCCATTACCGTTATGGGTTTTATTCAGCAATAATTGTGTTACTTGTGATACAGAGGTAAAATTTATTTTTTCTTTGGCCGTGGTCGGGGTGGCCAGCAATAGTTTAATAACATAAAGTTCTTAATGGAAAAAATAACAGTTTGTCCATAGATAAGCTTAGAGTCCAACTCTGGGCAACTAAAAAAGAGTCAATTTCCCATTTTGGTCTACTTACTGATCCTCCGCTCCTTCTCTCAGCTAGACCGCCCCCAAAGCTTCTTCTCCCCCAGTGGTCTAGGGTCCTTGTTACATGTTAGACTGCAGTTTTGTTTGTGTTCTTACCTTCTTGCTGCAGTCCTGTTCCTGATCCCTTCTCATGTTTGTTTGTGCTCATCTATGGACGTTATCTGCTGTCCTCTGGGTTTTATTTCCTTCCCTTCCTGTCCCGCCTCCTTGTCTGCCTGTCTATATAAGATGTGCTCAGACTAGGCCACTTTGCCTGAGCAACTTCTTAGTTGTTGGAGCTCCCGTGTGCTTCTGCTGTCTGAATCCTACATTGTCTACTTGTGTACCGACCCCGGCTTCATTCTCCGACCTTGCTTGTTTTCCTCCTGTCCTGACCTCGGTTTGCCTAGTGGATTCCGTTTATCTTCTCCCGTTATACTCTGCTCCCGCGAGTGGTCTCCTCCACCTCAGCTGGGTGTACCTGGGGGCCGCGACCTGGTCCCAGCTTGCTGCAAGTCCATCCCCACCATCAGGGGCTCTGGTGAACAAGCAGGCTGGGGCTTAGACTCCGCGCCTTGGGAAACCCCAAGTTGAGGGTCCATAAGAGCTCATGACCACCGGTGCTGACAGTCCTGACATTGTCAAAACCAAAGCAGGGCCCATAGCCTTCCTTGATGCATTTCTGGACTTCCCCTATACTTGTGAGTAATGCGGCAGCGGTGAAACGCGTAGAGGGAGGTTGGCTTTGAGTGGGGCTTAGACTCTGCACCCTGGGAAACCCCAAGTTGAGGATCCATAACAGCTCACAACCACCGATGCTGACAGTCCTGACATCGTCAAAGTCATAGCAGGGCCCATAGCCTTCCTTGATGCATTTCTGGACTTCCCCTATACTTGTGAGTAATTCGGCAGCGGTGAAACGCGTAGAGGGAGGTTGGCTTTGGGTGGGGCTTAGACTCCGCACCCTGGGAAACCCCAAGTTGAGGATCCATAGGAGCTCACGACCACTGGTGCTGCTGACAGTGCTGACATCGTCAAAACCAAAGCAGGGCCTATAGCCTTCCTTGATGCATTTCTGGGCTTCCCCTATACTTGTGAGTAATGCAGCAGTGGTGAAACGCGTAGAGGGAGGTTGGCTTTGGGTGGAGACATCAATGCACGCAGTCTTTTTTGATAATTATTAAACACAGAAAGAAGAGTGAAGTTTTTGAGTGCGGCTTACATTTTTTACTCTATAAAGCACAAATTTTATATTCTGTGATTTTTTTTCCCTTTTATCACAACACTAAATTGATGTTTCTGCTTTTTTTTTTTTTGCCACTTATGCTGCGAAAATGAAGCAACAAAAGCTCAAACATTTCAATACTGACAGAATAAATACGTGCTAGAGAGAGAAGGGAGTCAATTTGGACTAATTAGTGATAGCATATTGGTAAAAAGAAAAAAAAAATATATGTTTGTATGTATAGCTTGAACAATTCCAGTGTAAAATATTAGAAATTGTAATTAGTGTCTCCTGACAGGCGCAGATAACTACATTGTATCTATTTTTGTTACATTTTAACAAGCATGCGGGAACACCTGTTATAGCGATCAGTGCTGAAAGAACCGCTAACAGCATCCCTATTACACAAATCCCAACCTGGGCTGTCAAAATGAAAGGACTCGGCTCTTCTTGGTTCTTCCAACAATAATGGTTTTAGTCAAGAGTAAACATGTGGATTTCAAAAGGATCACTTAGTTCATGTTCCATAGAACCGCTCAGCATTCCTCGAATAGCTCAGTACACACAGGTACTTAAATGGGATGGGTCAAAATGGGATATAGGCTTCCACTGCTGACTTGTTTTGGAAGATGCTTGCTCCTCAGCTGTCATCCTTATTCTTACTTCACTATTTAGTAAGTCAATGACTCGGAAGAAGTGAAGTTTCCATAGCCTGAGGCCTACTCTAGTCCTGTGTGCCTTCATAGCCTGAGGCCTACTCTAGTCCTGTGTGCCTTCATAGCCTGAGCCTACTTAGTCCTGTGTGCCTTCATAGCCTGAGGCCTACTCTAGTCCTGTGTGCCTTCATAGCCTGAGGCCTACTCTAGGCTTGTGTGCCAACATAGCCTTAGGCCAGCTCTAGTCCTGTAGTCCTTTTTGGTTTGAGACCAACTCTAGTCCTGTGTTCCTCCATAGCCTGAGGCCAGCTCTAATCATGTGTGCCTGTACAGCCTGAGGCCAGTTCTAGCGCTGTGTGCCTCCATAGCCAGAGCCTAACTCTAGTCCTGTGTGCCTTCATAACCTGAGGCCAACACTAGTTCTGTGTGCCTCCATAACCTGAGGCCTATTAGTCCTTTGTGCCTCTATAGCTTGAGGACAGCGCTAGTCCTGTGTTCCTCTATAGCTTGAGACCAACTTTAGTGCTGTGTGCCTCCATACTTGAGCCAGCTGTAGTCCTGTGTTCCTCCATAGCCTGAGGTCAACTCTAGTCCTGTGTTCCTCCATAGCCTGAGGCCAACTCTAGTCCTTTGTGCCTTCATAACTTGAGGTCAACTCTAGTCTTGTGTGCCTCCGTAGCCCGAGGTCTACTCTAGTCTTGTGTGCCTCCAAAGCTTGAGGCCTACTCTAGTCTTGTGTACCTCCATAGCCTGAGGCCTACTCAATGCTAGTCTTGTGTGCCTCTATAGCCTGAGGCGCTTTAGTCCTGTGTGCCTCCATAGCCTGAGGTCAACTCTAGTCCTTTGTGCCTCCATAGCTTGAGGCCAAAGCTAGTCCTTTGTGCCTTCATAGCCTGAGGCAGCAGTTCTCCATAGCCTGAGGCCAACTTGTGCCTTCATAATTTGAGGCCAACTCTAGTCCTGTGTGCATTCATAGCCCGAGGCCTACTCTAGTCTTGTGTGCCTCCATAGCTTGAGGCCTATTCTAGTCTTGTGTGCCTCTATAGTCTGAGGCCTAGTCTAGTCCTGTGTGCCTCCATAGCCTGAGGCCTGCTCTAGTCTTGTGTGCCCCATAGCCTGAGGCCTACTCTAGTCTTGTGTGACTCCATAGCCTGAGGCCTACTTTAGTCCTGTGTGCCTCCATTGCCTGAGGCCTACTCTAGGCCTCTGTGCCTCCATAGCTTGAGGCCTACTCTCGTCCTGTGTGCTTCCATAGCCTGAGGCCTACTCTAGTTCTGTGTACCCCCATAGCCTGAGGCCAACTCTGATCCTGTGGCAATCATAACCTGAGGCCTAAATTAGTCCTGTGTGCCTCCATAGCCTGAGCCCTACTCTAGTCTTGTGTCTCTCCATAGCTTGAGGCCTACTCTAGTCCTGTGTACCTCCATAGCCTGAGGCCAACTCTAGTCCTTTGTGCCTCTATAGCTTGAGGCCAACACTAGTCCTGTGTGCCTCTATAGTCTGAGGCCAGCTGTAGTCCTGTGTGCCTCCATAGCCTAAGGCTTACTTTAGTCCTGTGTGCCTCCTTATCTTGAGGCCTACTCTAGTCTTGTGCCCCTCCATAGCCTGAGGCCTACTCCAGTCCCGTGTGCCTTCATAGCCTGAGGCCAACTCTAATCCTGCGTGCCTCCATATTTTATTTCCTGTTTCTGTAACTAATTAATTAAAAAATAGGGATGAGTTGCCTTTCTAGTGCTCGTCTATTAAGAATTCTGCTTTCTCGAAAATGGCCGGGGCACTTTAATTCTCCTCCGGTGATACTTCACCACATGTGTGGGAGTTCGGCAGCTAAAAGGTTAAACAATTCGAATCCCCAATTCTCTACATAAGCTATATAAGGAGACTTAGGGGAATTCATCGGGCAGCATTACTTGTTTACAAGACTATTCTGGGCTGAAATCCCATTGACTCAAATCCTCTTACCTCCTGATAAAGCTTAGAGGAGAGAGGCGGAAAGTTGGAGTTCAGCGGGTGATGTCGCGGCAATGTGTGCGTCTTCTGCGGTGTTGAAGGCCAAAACCAAATTCGCTCACCTAGTTTATTGAAGGAAATAAATGTATTGTGTTGGTATCACCCTGCCACATTTCACGTACGATATGAAATAAAAATCTGATTGGTGGCTATAGGTGAAATCTGCTATTTTTTTTTTATGTTTTCTCAGTAAATTTTAGAAATGACATTTTCATAGATGTTCAAACATGGAAACTGCATGTAAATTTGTTCTGTACTAATGGGGCCAAATGGAATGTTCTCAGAAAATACTGCATTATGGCCATTAGATGGCGCTGTCATAGGGCATATGTTCCTCAGCTCCACCTAGTGTCCTTCATGCAGTCATTTTCACATTCACACATTTGATCTGCAGAGAATATAGCCTGAGAACATTCGATCTCTGCCCCATTCGTACAGAACAAATCTAGATAAAATATCGTAGTGCAGCACTAAAAACTCATATATAGATCAAATAAATAAAAGTTCATGAATATATGATCATAAAATATGAATGTTCCAAAAGTGACAATCGTGCTCTGGAGGCGATTGCTTCAAAGATATTCTGGTGCTCGTGCTGGTAGAAAATATTATTATTATTATACAGTGTTTATATAGTGCCAAAGGGTATGCTCAGCACTGTACATTATAGTGGGGGGACAGTATAAGAGACAAGACAGTAACAATACAATACACGAGGGGTTCGAGGGCCCTGCTCTTTCGAGCTTACAATCTAGGAAGGAGGGGGTAGAGGTACAGGAGGAAGTGGCTAGGGGGATGGAGTGGTAGGAGGAGTGGAGGAGAACGGCTGTTAGGTGAGGGTGGGGTAGGTTTCCCTGAAGAGATGGGTTTTCAGGGTGCGCCTGAAGGTGAGGAGGGTATGTGACAGTCTGATGGATTGGGGTAGGGAGTTCCAGAGGATGGGGGAAGTCCTGGAGAAGTCCTACAGTCGGGCGTGGGAGGAGGAGACCAGGGAGTTAGAGAGTAGGAGGTTAGTGAGGAGCGAAGGGCATGGGTAGGGTAGTATTTGGGTATCAGGTCAGTGAGGTAGTTTGGGGCAGCATTATGAATGGCTTTGTACGTCAATGTTAGTAATTTGAATTTGATGCGTTGGGCAATCGGGAGCCATTAAAGGGATTAGCATAGGGGGGCGGCCGAAGTGGAGTGGTTGTTGAGGTGGATGAGTCTGGCCGCTGAGTTCAGGATAGACTGGAGCGGGGATAGCGTTTGTCGGGGTAGGCCGGTGAGGAGGGAGTTGCAGTAGTCAAGTTGTGAGATAATAAGGGAGTGTACAAGTAGTTTAGTAGTGTATGGGGTTAGGAACGGACGTATCTTGGAGATGTTGCGGAGGTGGAGTCTGCATGACTTTGATAGTGATTGGACATGAGGTTGGAAGGAAAGGTTTGAGTCCAGGGTGACACCCAGTACTTTGGCGTGTGGGGTGGGATTGATGGTGGCGTTGTTAGTCGTGATGGAGAGGATGGGGGGGGGGGGGGGGTGCGGGCTGGGGGGAAAACTAGGAGCTCGGTTTTGGACAGGTTTAACTTGAGGAAATGGAGAGGTCGTTCAGTAGGGGTGATACGGGCAGAGACTGAAGGGTGAGATAATAAGGGATTTGTACAAGTAGCCTGTAGGAGAGATCTTGGAGAGTTGCGGAGGGCGTCTGCATGACTTTGATAGGTGGACATGAGGTTGAAGGAATGGTCCAGGGGACACCTGACTTTGCGTGGGGGGGATTGATGGTGGCGTTGAGTCGGATGGAGAGAGGGGGGGGGGGGGTGCGGGCTGGGGGGAAAACTAGGAGCTCGGTTTTGGACAGGTTTAACTTGAGGAAATGGAGAGACATCCAGTCTATGTCGTTCAGTAGGTGGGTGATACGGGCAGAGACTGAAGGGGTGAGTTGAGGGGTGGAGAGGTAAATTTGTGTGTCATTGGCATAGAGGTGATAGTTGAAGCCGTGGGAGTGTATCAGTTTGCCAAGGGAGGAGGTGTAGATGGAGAAGAGAAGGGGCCCGAGGACAGAGCCTTGGGGGACCCCAACAGAGAGGGGGAGGTGGCAGCGTTATAGGTAACACTGAAGGAGCGCTGGGATAGGTAAGACCAGGAGAGAGCAGAGTCCCTGATTCCAAGGGAGTGTAGTTTAGTAAGGAGGAGGGGGTGGTCAACTGTGTGGAAGGCCGCGGAGAGGTCGAGGAGTAGGAGGACTGAGTTTTGGCCATTAGCTTTGGCGGTTAGCAGGTCGTTAGTGATTTTAAGTAGGGTGGTTACGGTGGAGGGTAGGGGACGGAAGCCAGACTGTAGTGGATCAAGGAGATTGTTGTCAGTGAGGTGGGAGCTTAGGCGATTATAGACTAAGTGCTCAAGGAGCTTGGAAGTGAGTGGCAGCAGGGAGATGGGTCTAAGGTTGTTCAGGTCACCAGATGCACAATTTTAATGTGCATATAAATATGGGTAAAGATGTCCTCTTAATGGGATCAGGGTAGCGTAGATGAAGGATAATCCCTCCTCTGAAGGGTAGATGTTACAGCGGGCGATTCCAGGGTTTAGAGTTGATCCAATACAGCCAGAGGTCCCTTAGAGGGTTTGGTGGATGTGGTATCCAGGGTAGACAGGAGATCCCCTCTCTGGATACTGAGATGGACCATAGATGGGCATTTGTGAATAAACTCACTTCACCAAGGAGTTAAACAAAGAACAAATCTATATGCAGATTCAATGGGAAAAGTTGTGATTTTTTTTTTTTTTTTTTTTTTTTTTTTTTTTTACAAATACATCCCTTAAAATGACTAAAAACTAAAAAAAATGCACTTGTGTGTCTGTTTCCAGTGGTCAGCTCTGTGAAATGCCTTCTCAGTCATCCACTTTGACCAATCCATGTAAGTTAGCAGACTGCCAGAACGGAGCCAACTGCATCGACCTGGGGAACAGCGCCGTGTGTCAGTGTCTTCCTGGGTTTGGCGGCACCAGGTGTGAAAAGCTCTTGAGTGTCAACTTTGTGGACAGGGACACCTACCTGCAATTCACAGACCTCCAGAACTGGCCACGGGCAAATATCACGCTTCAGGTAAGTGTAAAGATGATCCTATTATATCAAATATAAGCCTGAAACCACATGTCCCCCTCATTATGCCCGGGGGCAGACTGACAACTCATGGGGCCCCCGGGCAATAGGGGATCATGGGGCTCCTGTGTCCTTGCCCATAATCAAACCACACCCAAAAAAGCTTATGAAAGGTACAAGGGGCATGTCATGGAGCCCCCTACTGGCCCCTTTCATAGGCTTTTTTGGGTGTGGTTTGAGTATGGGCAAGGACACAGGAGCCCCATGATCCCCTATTGCCCGGGGGCCCCATGAGTTGTCAGTCTGCCCCTGGCCTGAACTATCAAAACTCCATCTGCTTCACAATGCTGATCTCATTACATGTTACACACTCAACTGCCACTTTTTTCGGTAAGCCTGTTCAATTGCTTGCTAGCAGAAATTGCTCCTCAGCCAATCACATGGCAGCAATTCAATGCATTTAGGCATCTAGACGTGAAGACGACTTGCTGAAGTTTAAACTGAGCATGAGAATAGGGAAGAAAGGGGATTTAAGTGACTTTGACCGTGGCGTGGTTGTTGGTGTCAGACAGGCTGGTCTGAGTATTTCAACAACTGCTGATCTACTGGAATTTTCACACACAACCATCTCTAGGGTGTACAGAGAATGCTCCGAAAAAGAGAAAATATCCAGTGAGCAGTGTAACTGAAGCAGGACCCGACCACTCTTGGGTATATTCCGTTATACCGCAGCTTCCCCTGTCCAAACACCATCCACGGACCACACCCTGGAAATCCCTCAGGAAATAGACATCACCCAGCTCTTCTTAAAACAGGAAGCCAACTCTTTATTTTAACACAAAACACAGGATATATACAGAGGGCGGGGAAACACAACCAGGAACAGGAAACAAATCATCAACCGATTCCATCAGTGGGAAGGGCTGCAGGGAACCACCCCAACCAACCCAAGACACAGAACAATGGGATGAAGCACATGGCAAACAAACAATGGACAGCCATGTGGCCGAGAACAATAGCCACATGGCAGTAGACAATGGGCAACCACATGGCCGAGACAAAGGAACACATACTATACACAAGACTGGGACTTTCACATTTACACCCTGTACCCCTTAACAGGCACAGGGTGGGTTAAACATAATGAGGGGGACATGAGCTGACCAAGCAGTCCCCCCACCCCCAAAAGTCACTCCCGTCACAAGCAGCAGTTGTGTGGAGGAAAATGCCTTGTTGAGGTCAGAGGAGAATGGGTAGACTGGTTCCAGATGAGAGAAAGGCAACAGTAACTCCAGTGCCCCACTGTAAGTGGGGAATTCCTCCCGCTGGCCCCCAGCAATGTATTTTTCCAATGACCCCCTAATCTTCATTTCACTTCAAAATAATTTCAAGGGTTCCTCTGGTGTAAAAAAAAAAAAAAAGGATGAGAAAAGCTGCTCCAGAGGATCTCCGCAGTCTCTGGATTGTAGTGTAATATAATATAGGTAAAGTTGATCCAGGGAACATCTGACTGCCTCTCGGGGGATCAGGAAGGAATTTTTTTCCCTGCAGGAGAAAATTGGATCGTGCTTTGCTGTTTTTTTGCCTTCCTCTGGATCAACTGTGGGTGTAGGATTATAACTTTTTTTTTATGGTTGAACTGGATGGACTTTTGTCTTTTTTCAGAGAAAAATAGAAATTGAAGCACCACACCACTAGAAGTTCCAGATAGATTGGTATTCCAATGTAACGTCAACGAGACAATCCACAGAAAGCATATGGCACTATGTAACTGGATGGACTTTTGTCTTTTTTCAGCCAGACTAACTATATAATAAAAAAGGACCTCGAAGCACCACACCACTGCTAAGAGGTCCAAATATGACTTTTTCCCAATAAAAGTCAAGGGGGCAATCCATAGAGTATCCACTGCATTTTGGGGTCCAAAAATGCCCCTCTCAACTGGGTTAGAAGAAACACAAGGACTTCTCCATATCAATACTAAATCAAATATTATTATTGATATGGAGGTGCCATGTGCTTTCTGTGGATTGCCCCGTTGACTTACATTGGAATACCAATCTACCTGGAACTTCTAGTGGTGTGGTGCTTCAATTTCTATTTTTGTTACCTCTACACAAGAAAGGCTTTTCTAGCCAAATATCCCGCATAAAACTTGTGAAATGTTCATATATTCTTATAGGAAGCCTTTTGTTGAAATGAATGGTCTGGGGACAGGGACTGATTCAGCAGAATAATGAGGATATATTATTTGCAATATGTTTCCCCATGCCTTGGGCCTGTGCATTGTCCCAAAAACATTCACAAATTTCCTTTTTAATTAAAAAAAAAACACTGATAAATAGCCATTTAGGCAACCTTTAGATCAGGTAGTTCACAATTCCGAGGTTTAGGTCCCTAAAATGATAACATGGTTGCAATGTATTACAGTTTTTTAAAAGGCCCAAAGTGGACATCTGTGAGTATGAACCATAAAGAGGTTCAGCAATTCATAATATGAAAGTGATAATCCATACTATTGATGTGATGTGATAAAAAGGATATATTCAAATCTGGACTTTACATGAATCAGTCGGACATTTCCAGAAACCAACAGAGACCGGGAGTACCTACAGTATGATAAAAATCACATAGGCACAGCATTCTGCGGCACTAGGTGTGTATGCACTACTGCCCCCCATTATTAAACACCTCGACATCACTACTGCCCCCCATTATTATACACCTCGACATCACTACTGCCCCCCATTATTATACACCTCGACATCTCTACTGTCCCCCATTGTTAAACACCCGACATCACTACTGTCCCCCATTATTATACACCTCGACATCACTACTGCCCCCCATTATTAAACACCCCGACATCACTACTGTCCCCCATTATTATACACCTCAACATCACTACTGCCCCCCATTATTATACACCTCGACATCACTACTGCCCCCCATTATTAAACACCTCAACATCACTACTGTCCCCCATTATTATACACCTCGACATCACTACTGCCCCCCATTATTATACACCTCGACATCTCTACTGTCCCCCATTATTAAACACCCCAACATCACTACTGTCCCCCATTATTATACACCTCGACATCACTACTGTCCCCCATTATTATACACCTCGACATCACTACTGTCCCCCATTATTAATACACCTCCAACATCACTACTGTCCCCCATTATTATACACCTCTACATCACTACTGTCCCCCATTATTATACACCTCGACATCACTACTGTCCCCCATTATTATACACCTCGACATCACTACTGTCCCCCATTATTATACACCTCGACATCACTACTGCCCCCCATTATTATACACCTCGACATCACTACTGTCCCCCATTATTAAACACCTCGACATCACTACTGCCCCCCATTATTAAACACCTCTACATCACTACTGTCCCCCATTATTATACACCTCTACATCACTACTGTCCCCCATTATTAAACACCTCGACATCACTACTGCCCCCCATTATTAAACACGACCCAACATCACTACTGTCCCCCATTATTACATACACCTCTACATCACTACTGTCCCCCCATTATTATACACCTCTACATCACTACTGTCCCCCATTATTATACACCTCGACATCACTACTGTCCCCCATTATTAAACACCCCAACATCACTACTGCCTCTCATTATTAAACACCTCAACATCACTACTGTCCCCCATTATTATACACCTCAACATCACTACCCCCCCCATTATTAAACACCCCAACATCACTACCGTCCCCCATTATTAAACACCTCAACATCACTACTGCCTCTCATTAAAACACCCCAACATCACTACTGTCCCCCATTAGTAAACACCTCAACATCTCTACTGTCACCCATTATTAAACACCCCAACAGCACTCCTATCCCCCATTATTAAACACCTCAACATCACTACTGCCCCCCATTATTATACACCTCGACATCTCTACTGCCCCCCATTATTATACACCTCGACATCTCTACTGTCCCCCATTATTAAACACCCCAACATCACTACTGTCCCCCATTATTATACACCTCTACATCTCTACTGTCCCCCATTATTAAACACCCCCCAACATCACTACTGCCTCTCATTAAACACCCCAACATCACTACTGCCTCTCATTAAACACCTCAACATCACTACTGTCCCCCATTATTAAACACCTCAACATCACTCCCCTCCCCCATTATTAAACACCCCAACATCACTACCGTCCCCCATTATTAAACACCTCAACATCACTACTGCCTCTCATTAAACACCCCAACATCACTATTGTCCCCCATTAGTAAACACCTCAACATCTCTACTGTCACCCATTATTAAACACCCCAACAGCACTCCTATCCCCCATTATTAAACACCTCAATCACTCACTCCTATCCCCCATTATTTAAACACCTCGACATCACTACTGTCCCCCATTATTAAACACCCCGACATCACTACTGTCCCCCATTATTATACACCCCAACATCACTACTGTCCCCCATTATTATACACCTCGACATCACTACTGCCCCCCATTATTAAACACCTCGACATCACTACTGCCCCCCATTATTAAACACTACCCATTACATCACTACTGTCCCCCATTATTATACACCTCTACATCACTACTGTCCCCCATTATTATACACCTCTACATCACTACTGCCCCCCATTATTAAACACCCCGACATCACTACTGTCCCCCATTATTATACACCTCATTATTAAACACCCCAACATCACTACTACTGTCCCCCATTATTATTATACACCTCATACATCACTACTGTCCCCCATTATTATACACCTCGACATCACTACTGTCCCCCATTAGTAAACACCTCAACATCTCTACTGTCACCCATTATTAAACACCCAACAGCACTCCTACCCCCATTATTAAACACCTCAACATCACTACTGCCCCCCATTATTATACACCTCGACATCTCTACTGCCCCCCATTATTATACACCTCGACATCTCTACTGTCCCCCATTATTAAACACCCCAACATCACTACTGTCCCCCATTATTATACACCTCTACATCTCTACTGTCCCCCATTATTAAACACCCCAACATCACTACTGCCTCTCATTATAACACCCCAACATCACTACTGTCCCTCATTATTAACACCTCAACATCACTACTGTCCCCCATTATTAACACAACCTCCCCCATTATTAAACATCACTCACTACTGTCCCCCATTATTAAACACCCCAACATCACTACTGTCCCCCATTATTACCCACCTCAACATCACTACTGTCCCTCCATTAAACACCCCAACATCACTACTGTCCCCCATTATTAAACACCTCAACATCTCACTACTGTCCCCATTATTAAACACCGACCACTAACAGCACTCCTACTGTCCCCCATTATTAAACACCTCAACATCACTACTGTCCCCATTATTAAACACCTCAACATCACTACTGTCCCCCATTATTATACACCTCGACATCTCTACTGTCCCCCATTATTAAACACCCCGACATCACTACTGTCCCCCATTATTATACACCTCGACATCACTACTGTCCCCCATTATTATACACCTCGACATCACTACTGTCCCCCATTATTATACACCTCGACATCTCTACTGTCCCCCCATTATTATACACCCTCGACATCTCTACTGTCCCCCATTATTAATACACCTCGACATCACTACTGTCCCCCCCCCCATTATTATACACCCCGACATCACTACTGTCCCCCATTATTATACACCTCGACATCACTACTGTCCCCCATTATTATACACCTCGACATCACTACTGTCCCCCATTATTATACACCTCGACATACCTCTACTGTCCCCCATTATTAAACACCCCGACATCACTACTGTCCCCTATTATTATACACTTCAACATCACTACTGTACACCCCCCTACTGTCCCCCATTATTATACACCTCGACATTATTCATCACTACTGTCCCCCATTATTATTCGACACTACTGTCCCCCATTATTATACACCTCGACATCACTACTGTCCCCCATTATTATACACCCGACGACATCATTATTACTGTCCCCCATTATTATACACCTCGACATCACTACTGTCCCCCATTATTAAACACCTCGACATCACTACTGTCCCCCATTATTAAACACCTCGACATCACTACTGTCCCCCATTATTAAACACCACGACATCACTACTGTCCCCCATTATTTATACACCTCGACATCTCTACTGTCCCCCATTATTAAACACCTCGACATCACTACTGTCCCCCATTATTAAACACCTCGACATCACTACTGTCCCCCATTATTAAACACCTCAACATCACTACTGTCCCCCATTACTAAACACCTCGACATCTCTACTGTCCCCCATTACTTAATAAACACCTCGACATCACTACTGTCCCCCATTATTAAACACCGTAACATCACTACTGTCCCCCATTAAACACCACTAAAAACATCACTACTGTCCCCCCATTAAACACCACAACATCACCCCCATTATTAAACAGCTCGACATCTCTACTGCCACACATTATTAAACACCTCGACATCACTACTGTCCCCCATTATTAAACACACCCCAACATCACTCCTGTCCCCCATTATTAAACACCCCAACATCACTACTGCCCCCATAATTAAACACCCCAACATCACTCTGGTCCCCCATTATTAAACACCCCAACATCACTCCTGTACCCCATTATTAAACACCCCAACATCTTTACTGCCCCCATGATTAAACACCCCAACATCACTCCTATCCCCCATTATTAAACACCCCCAACATCACTGCTGCCTCCCATTATTAATTACCCCAACATCACTACTGCCCCCCCATTATTAAACACCCCAACATCACTCCTATCCCCCATTATTAAACACCCCAACATCACTCCTATCCCCCATTATTTAACACACCCCAACATCAAGCTATCCCCCATTACTAAACACCCCAACATCACACCTATCCCCCATTATTAAACACCCCAACTTCACTCCTGTCCCCCTTTATTAAACACCCCAACATCACTGCTGCCCCCCTCCCCTCCATTATTAAACACCCCAACATCACTACTACTACCCCCCATTATTATTAAACACCCCAACATCACTCCTGTCTCCCATTATTAAACACCCCAACATCACTGCTGCTGCCCCCCTCCCCTCCATTATTAAAACACCCCAACATCACTGCTGCCCCCCATTATTAAACACCCCAACATCACACCTATACCCCATTATTAAACACCCCAACATCACTGCTGCCCCCCCATTATTAAACACCCCAACATCACACCCTCTCCCCCATTTTTGAACACCCCAACATCACTGCTGCCCCCTCCCCTCCATTATTAAACACCCCAACATCACTGCTGCCCCCTCCCCTCCATTATTAAACACCCCAACATCACTCCTGTCCCCCATTACTAAACACCCCAACATCACTCCTCTCCCCCATTATTAAACACCCAAACATCACTCCTCTCCCCCATTATTAAACACCCCAACATCACTGCTGCTGCCCCCCTCCCCTCCATTATTAAACACCCCAACATCACTACTACCCCCCCATTATTAAACACCCCAACATCACTCCTGTCTCCCATTATTAAACACCCCAACATCACTGCTGCCCCCCTCCCCTCCATTATTAAACACCCCAACATCACTGCTGCCCCCCATTATTAAACACCCCAACATCACCCCTCTCCCCCATTTTTGAACACCCCAACATCACTGCTGCCCCCTCCCCTCCATTATTAAACACCCCAACATCACTGCTGCCCCCCTCCCCTCCATTATTAAACACCCCAACATCACTCCTGTCCCCCATTACTAAACACCCCAACATCACTCCTCCTCTCCCCCATTATTAAACACCCAAACATCACTCCTATCCCCCATTATTAAACACCCCAACATCACTGCTGCCCCCCTCCCCTCCATTATTAAACACTCCAACATCACTGCTGCCCCCCCTCCCCTCCATTATTAAACACCCCAACATCACTGCTGCCCCCCTCCCCTCCATTATTAAACACCCCAACATCACTACTACCCCCCATTATTAAACACCCCAACATCACTCCTGTCTCCCATTATTAAACACCCCAACATCACTGCTGCCCCCCTCCCCTCCATTATTAAACACCCCAACATCACTGCTGCCCCCCATTATTAAACACCCCAACATCACCCCTCTCCCCCATTTTTGAACACCCCAACATCACTGCTGCCCCCTCCCCTCCATTATTAAACACCCCAACATCACTGCTGCCCCCTCCCCTCCATTATTAAACACCCCAACATCACTCCTGTCCCCCATTACTAAACACCCCAACATCACTCCTCTCCCCCATTATTAAACACCCAAACATCACTCCTATCCCCCATTATTAAACACCCCAACATCACTGCTGCCCCCCTCCCCTCCATTATTAAACACCCCAACATCACTGCTGCCCCCTCCCCTCCATTATTAAACACCCCAACATCACTGCTGCCCCCTCCCCCCCATTATTAAACACCCCAACATCACTGCTGCCCCCTCCCCTCCATTATTAAACACCCCAACATCACTGCTGCCCCCTCCCCTCCATTATTAAAACACCCCAACATCACTGCTGCCCCCTCCCCTCCATTATTAAACACCCCAACATCACTGCTGCCCCCCTCCCCTCCATTATTAAACACCCCAACATCACTGCTGCCCCCTCCCCTCCATTATTAAACACCCCAACATCACTGCTGCCCCCTCCCCTCCATTATTAAACACCCCAAGCTACGAAGTGCAGTCTTTATGAACAAGCTTGTCAGTCTCTCCTTCCTGTAATACACAGAGAGCGGAGGGCATGTAGCTCCAGGTATTCGGTTATATTTAGTTCGATGTTACAAAGGCCATGGTATGTAATTTGTGTTGTAAATCCCCATCTCAGAATAGAAGACGAAGAGATCAACATGTGAGATTAATTCCGGGGGGTAGTCATTACTGGATTGCATTTTGTTTTTGCATGGCGCAGGTATCCACAGATGAAGACAATGGAATTCTGCTGTACAATGGAGACCGTGACCACATGGCGGTAGAATTATATCAAGGCCATGTCAGAGTGAGCTACGACCCCGGCACTTTCCCCAGCTCCGCCATCTACAGGTAATGAGAATCTTTTCATTTTGTGAGGAAGTCGCTCAGTGACCGAGCCGTCATGGACAGCTCCTGGCTTCTAATAATGATCCGGAGCTGGCTCAACCGGCCTCTGATCATGTGACCACTGTAACAGCCAATCACAGTGGTCACGAGATCAGCCAGTCCTTCCCATCCCCGGGGAGTAAAGACCCTGTTGAAGGGATTCTAGGGTGGGCAGGAAGGGGTTAAAGAATCACCATATGCACTTCAATGCTCAACACTAGTATTTCTGCCATGGTCAATGGTGGCCATTCACACCAGTGCAGTTCCACTTTGAACCTTGAAGCATGTGTTGGTGGTAAAAAGTACCTACGCCTCTTTGGGGCAGAGTTGCCCATTTTGGCCTCGACAGTCTTCAATGGAAGCGTGTATAAATGTCACCAGGTGACCCCGCCTCCTATGACATCACAGAAGCCGGCATGTGTTTTCAGCCATCCGGTGACATCATCGAGTGACCCCCATCCCCTACAATGTCATGGGACAGGGTCTACCTTCATTTTGTACAGCGCTGCGCAAACTGTTGGCGCTATATAAATCCTGTAAAATAATAATAATAGAAAAAAAAAAAACGCCTGATGAGCCTAAATGCGTGTAAATGCGCTAGGTGAGCTTACTGCTTGGGAGTTTTTAATTTTAACGGCCAGAGTAAACTCATTGTTTGGCCAAAGAAATGAATAAATGCCCAAGTTCTTGACGCGCATAAATGAGCCTAAATGTGCCAAAACGCATTTGCAAAAACATGGCCTGGGTGCATTTTTGAAGCGACTTTTTTCATGCGGTGAGAAAAGCATTTACAGGAGCCCCAATGTGCATGAGGAGCAATTTGGCAAAAAAAGATGCCTGATGTGCCTAAACACATCTAAACGCATCTAAACGCTAGGCACGTTTGTTGCTTTTTTTTTTTTTTTTTCAATGTCCAGAATAAATTAATGTTGTGGCCAATGAAATGAATAAACGCCCAAGTACTTGACGCGCCTAAACGCCTTTGGAAAAACCCAGCTTAGGTGCATTTTTGAAGGTGCTTTTGTCCTGCCAGGAGATGAAGCTTTTACAAGAGCACCGGTGTGCATGAGGCCTTCAAAAGAGGAGCATTTTGGCAAAAAAAATAAAGGCCAATGAAATGAATAAACGCCCAAGCGCTTGACGCGCCTAAACGCCTTTGCAAAAGCACATCTTAGGAGCGTTTTTGAAGCTGCTTTTCTCCTGCCAGGAGATGAAGCTTTTACAAGAGCCCCGGTGTGCATGAGGCCTTCAAAAGAGGAGCATTTTAGCAAAAAAAAGATGCCTGATGCGCCTAAATGCGGGTAAACGCATCTAAACGCTAGGCACATTTATTGCTTTTTAGTCTTCTTTCAGTGTCCAGAATAAATTAATGTTGTGGCCAATGAAATGAATAAACGCCCAAGTTCTTGACGCGCCTAAATGAGCCTAGACGCACCTAAACGCATTTGCACAAACATGGCTTAGGCACACATTTATCGCTTTTTTTTTTTTTTTTCATTTCAATGTCCAGAATAAATTAATGTTGTGGCCAATGAAATGAATAAACGCCCAAGTACTTGACGCGCCTAAATGAGCCTAAACGTGCCAAAACACATTTGCAAAAACATGGCTTAGGTGCATTTTTGAAGCGGCTTTTCTCCTGCGGGGAGAAAAGCATTTACAAGAGCCCCAGTGTACATGAGGCCTTCAAAAGAGGAGCATTTTGGCAAAATAAATGCCTGATACGCCTAAACGCATCTAAATGCTAGGCGCATTTATCGCTTTTTTTTTTTTTTCATTTCAATGTCCAGAATAAATTAATGTTGTGGCCAATGAAATGAATAAACGCCCAAGTACTTGACGCGCCTAAATGAGCCTAAACGTGCCAAAACACATTTGCAAAAGCACAGCTTAGGCACGTTTTTGAAGCTGCTTTTCTCCTGCCAGGAGATGAAGCTTTTACAAGAGCCCCAGTTTGCATGAGGCCTTCAAAAAAAGGAGCATTTTGGCAAAAAAAGATGCCTGATGTGACTAAACGCGGGTAAACGCATCTAAACGCTAGGCACATTTATCGCTTTTTTTTTTTTTTTCATTTCAATGTCCAGAATAAATTAATGTTGTGGCCAATGAAATGAATAAACGCCCAAGCGCTTGACGCGCCTAAATGAGCCTAAACGTGCCAAAACACATTTGCAAAAACATGGCTTAGGTGCATTTTTGAAGCGGCTTTTCTCCTGCGGGGAGATAAAGCTTTTACAAGAGCCCCGGTGTACATGAGGCCTCCAACAGAGGAGCATTTTGGCAAAAAAATAAATGCCAATGAAATGAATAAACGCCCAAGCGCTTGACGCGCCTAAACGCCTTTGCAAAAACACAGCTTAGGCGCATTTTTGAAGCTGCTTTTCTCCTGCCAGGAGATGAAGCTTTTACAAGAGCCCCAGTGTGCATGAGGCCTTCAAAAAAGGAGCAATTTGGCAAAAAAGATGCCTGATGCGCCTAAACGCGGGTAAACGCATCTAAACACTAGGCATATTGTTCTCTTTTTATTCTTCTTTCAAAGTCCAGACTAAATTCATGTTCTGGCCAATGAAATGAATAAACGTCCAAACGCTTGACGCGCCTAAACGCCTTTGCAAAAGCACAGGTTAGGCACGTTTTTGAAGCTGCTTTTCTCCTGCCAGGAGATGAAGCTTTTACAAGAGCCCCAGTGTGCATGAGGCCTTCAAAGAGGAGCATTTTGGCAAAAAAAGATGCCTGATGCGCCTAAACGCGGGTAAACGCATCTAAACGCTAGGCACATTTTTATTCTTCTTTCAATGTCTACAATAAATTCATGTTGTGGCTAATAAAAATAATAAATTCCCAAGCGCTTGACGCACCTAAATGAGCCTAAACGTGCCAAAACACATTTGCAAAAGCACAGCTTAGGCACGTTTTTGAAGCTGCTTTTCTCCTGCCAGGAGATGAAGCTTTTACAAGAGCCCCAGTGTGCATGAGGCCTTCAAAGAGGAGCATTTTGGCAAAAAAAGATGCCTGATGCGCCTAAACGCGGGTAAACGCATCTAAACGCTAGGCACATTTTTATTCTTCTTTCAATGTCTACAATAAATTCATGTTGTGGCTAATAAAAATAATAAATTCCCAAGCGCTTGACGCACCTAAACGCCTTTGCAAAAGCACAGATTAGGTGCGTTTTTGAAGCGACTTTTCTCCTGCGGGGAGAAAAGCATTTACAAGAGCCCCAGTGTGCATGAGGCCTCCAACAGAGGAGCATTTTGGCAAAAAAAGATTCCTGATGCTCCTAAATGCTAGGCACATTTATCACTTTTTTTTTTCCAATTTCCAGAATAAATTAATGTTGTGGCCAATGAAATGAATAAACGCCCAAGCGCTTGACGCGCCTAAACGCCTTTGGAAAAACACAGCTTAGGCGCATTTTTGAAGCGGCTTTTCTCCTGCCAGGAGATAAAGCTTTTACAAGAGCCCCGGTGTGCATGAGGCCTTCAAAAGAGGAGCATTTTGGCAAAATAAATGCATGATACGCCTAAACGCGGGTAAACTTCGCACATTTATCGCTTTTTTTTTTTTTTTCAATGTCCAGAATAATTAGTACGCTCAAGATTCCTGCCCTGGAACTGGCATGAAGACCAGGGATTAGAACGACAGCTTTAACCGGAAGCTTCTCACTCTCATTATTTTGTTTTCTGGCAAACCACTTTTTTCTTTTTCTTTTTCTTTTGGATGGTTTCTCACCGCAATGACATCACCTTAACGATATTGTTACGTGATCCCTTCAATCTTCGAACACTTTGCGTGTAATTTGGCTTTTTGTTTTGTGTGGAGGGATTAAAGAGGACACCTTACACCTATAATTTCTGCTGGTCTGGGAGGAAGGGTGACAGTTGGTCGGACTCCTTTATTGGTTCACACCAGCGGAGAAATCACTAATCATTCTCAGATCCACAAAGGAGTTAATAAATGTTCTCCGAAAAAAAAGATCTCAAATTCTGTCTCATGTATCCGAGGAGCCCCGTGAATAATGATTGTAGGATGCCAGTAAATTAGGAAGAATGAGATCCTCAATAAAATTACGTCTGCTTGTCTCCGTGATCCGATGCCGACACCATTGTTTGGTGGGGCGTTTCGTAGGGCTGGGTCATTGGCAGATGGAGCTCCTTGCCATATGCCCACACGGTGGCTGCTTAATTTTGGAATTAGCAGACCATTCTTCGAATCCCCCGGAGAGCCATTATGGTTTGAATAGAGGTATAATGAGGATGTTTATTCTGTGTCTTCTTTTATTCAGTGCAGAGACGATCAACGACGGCCAATTCCACACTGTAGAGCTGGTTACGTTCGACCAGATGGTTAATCTGTCTATTGACGGTGGGGCACCCATGACCATGGACAATTTTGGGAAACACTATACCCTCAATAGTGAAACTCCGCTGTATGTCGGAGGTAAGTTTTAATAAAAGAAAAACGTATACAAGAACTGTATGACATTAGAAATACACTACATTGCCAAAAGTATTGGGACGCCTCCCTTTACACACACATGAACTTTAATGGCATCCCAGTCTTAGTCCGTAGGGTTCAATATTGAGTTGGCCCCGCCCTTTACAGCTATAACAGCTTCAACTCTTCTGGGAAGGCCGTCCACAAGGTTTTGGAGGGTGTCTATGGGAAGGTTGGACCATTCTTCCAGAAGCGCATATACACTATATTGCCAAAAGTATTGGGCCGCCGGCCTTTCCACGCACATGACCTTTAATGGCCCCCCAGTCTTAGTCCGTAGGGTTCAATATTGAGTTGGCCCCGCCCTTTCCACGCACATGACCTTTAATGACCCCCCAGTCTTAGTCCGTAGGGTTCAATATTCAGTTGGCCCCGCCCTTTGCAGCTATAACAGCTTCAACTCTTCTGGGAAGGCCGTCCACAAGGTTTAGGAGGGTGTCTATGGGAAGGTTGGACCATTCTTCCAGAAGCACATTTGTCAGGTCAGGCACTGATGTCGGGGGAGGAGGCCTGGCTCACAGTCTCCGCTCTAATTCATCCCAAAGGTGTTCTATGGGGTTGAGGCAGGACTCTGTGCAGGCCAGTCAAGTTCCTCCACCCCAAACTGGCTCCTATATGTCTTTATGGACCTTGCTTTGTGCACTGGTACGCAGTCATGTTAGAACAGGAAGGGGCCATCCCCAAACTCTTCCCACAAAGTTGGGAGAATGAAATTGTCCAAAATGTCGCCTTAAGAGTTCCCTTCACTGGAACTAGGGGGCCAAACCTAGCCCCTGAGGAACAACCCCACACCATAATCCTTCCCCCCACCAAACTTTACACTTGGCACAATGCAGTCAGTCAAATACCATTCTCCTGGCAACCGCCAAACCCAGACACATCCATCGAATTGCCAGAAAGAGAAGCGTGATTGGTCACTCCAGAGAACACGTCTCCACTGCTTTAGAGTCCAGTGGCAGCGTGACTCTTTGCATTGCACTTGGTGATGGAAGGCTTGGATGCAGCTGCTCGGCCATGAAAACCCATTCCATGAAGCTCTCTACGCACTGTTGTTGGGCTCATCTGAAGGCCACACCAAGTTTGGAGGTCTTTATCTATTGACTCTGCAGACAGTTGGCGACTTCTGCGCACTGTGCGCTTCAGCATGCGCTGACCCCGCTTTGTCATGTGACGTGGTCTACCACTTGGTGGCTGAGTGGCTGTTGTTCCCAGTGGCTTCCACTTTGTTATAATCCCACTAACAGTTGAGCATGGAATATTTAGTAGCCAGGAAATGTCACGGATGGACTTATTGCCCAGGTGGCCACCTATCACGGGACCATGCTTGGAGTCACTGAGCTCCTGAGAGCAAACCATTCTTTCACCAATGTTTGTAGAAGCAGTCTGCATGCCTAGGGGCTTGATTGTATACACCTGTGTCCATGGAGGGGATTGGAACACCTGAATCACATGATATGGAGGGGATTGGAACACCTGAATCACATGATTGGGAGGGGATTGGAACACCTGAATCACATGATTGGGAGGGCTGGCTCAATACTTTTGGCAATATATTGTTAATGGGCTGTACCGCAAAAGCGTGTATAAATTTCTAATTCTCACTATATGAACCACTGATGTATTTATACATGGAGTTTGTATCTCCCCTTATGTATTATACATGGAGATCATATCCCCCCCTTATGTATTATACATGGAGATCATATCCCCCCTTATGTATTATACATGGAGATCATATCCCCCCTTATGTATTATACATGGAGATCATATCCCCCCTTATGTATTATACATGGAGATCATATCCCCCCCCTTATATATTATACATGGAGATCATATCCCCCCTTATGTATTATACATGGACATCATATCCTTCCCTTATGTATTATACATGGAGATCATATCCCCCCTTATGTATTATACATGGAGATAATATCCCCCCTTATGTATTATACATGGAGATCATATCCCCCCTTATGTATTATACATGGAGATCATATCCCCCCTTATTTATTATACATGGAGATAATATCCCCCCTTATGTATTATACATGGAGATCATATCCCCCCCCCTTATATATTATACATGGAGATCATATCCCCCCTTATGTATTATACATGGACATCATATCCTTCCATTATGTATTATACATGGAGATCATATCCCCCCTTATGTATTATACATGGAGATAATATCCCCCCTTATGTATTATACATGGAGATCATATCCCCCCTTATGTATTATACATGGAGATCATATCCCCCCTTATGTATTATACATGGAGATCATATCCCCCCTTATGTATTATACATGGAGATCATATCCCCCCTTATGTATTATACATGGTGATCATATCCCCCCCTTATGTATTATACATGGAGATCATATCCCCCCTTATGTATTATACATGGTGATCATATCCCCCCTTATGTATTATACATGGAGATCATATCCCCCTTGATCTCCTCTTCTCCATCTTCTCTTTTTCACTTTTTGACATCACAGTCCCCCCTTTAAAGCAGTCCAGCAGTGTCCTCAGTTCCCCTTCACATCACAGTGCCCCCTTGTACGACATAAATACGGGCATATGTCACAGTCCAGACGTTATGTTCAGCTGTCCATAGACATGAATGGCTGAGTATATTCTGGTATTTGTATACACCTGTGTATAATGTACAGATGTGTGACAGGGCAACATGGCAAGGAGACACAGGAGAATGCACAGCCTATGAAAACGCCAGCTAGAATGCTCTGGGGGAGATTTGGACCCCCATATCCCCCCATTTATCTACGCCCTTTTATTTGTTAAAAATAATCTAGAGACCAAAGCTCAATGTCTTCCCCAGTGGTCACAGTGGGTATAGCACAATACTTGTGTATTGCATACAGATGTATTATCACCTCTGCTGACAGGACAGTGTGGTTACATGACACCGGTGCCCTAAAGCAGCCTTTCTCAACCAGGGTGCCCAGGCACTCTGGGGTGCATTGAGGTTTCTTCAGGGGTGCCTTGGAAAAAATGTCTAAACAATTTCCAAAACTTGTATACAAGCAGGTGGAACAAGCCTGCCTTTTAGGTACACAAAGTCACAGGTTTGCATCATGCACCATTATGACCTTCTAGCTGCTGGTGTCCTGACAACCAATGACATCATCAGATGATAAAGAAGATGTCAGCTGCCTGCACAGCATCCTAGTTTGACCCTCCCCCACCCCTCTCCATCAGTGCTGGGGTCACAATAGCTCAGTGATGGAGAAAAACTGAGAGAGAGGAGAAACACTGGAATACTAGTCAGTACCAGTGTGCAAAGGTGTATTTTCTTTGGAAGAATAAATCCCCTCTAATGTTGGGTGTCCTACATGTGTGGATGTTGCTGCGTTATATACAACTATTAGAATAGTTTTTCATATTTTAGAATGGGGTGCACTTTTACAATTATGGACAGTCTTGAGGCACCTCATTTTAGAATGGGGTGCCTTGGGACTGTCCATAATTTTAAAGGGTGCCTCGGGACTGTCCATAATTTTAAAGGGTGCCTCGGGACTGTCCATAATTTTAAAGGGTGCCGACTGTCCAAAATTTAAAGGGTGCCTCGGGACTGTCCAAAATTTTAAAGGGTGCCTCAGGACTGTCCATAATTTTAAAGGGTGCCTCAGGACTGTCCAATAATTTTAAAGGGTGCCTCGGGACTGTCCATAATTTTAAAGGGTGCCTCGGGACTGTGCAAAATTTTAAAGGGTGCCTTGACTGAAAAAAGGTTGAGAAACACTGCCCTAAAGCGACCAAAAGCCATGACGGTCTGAGGGAAAATTTGGACCCCCATGTTCCCATCTTATCTATGCCCCTGTTATTTTTTAAAATTAATCTAAGGGCCCCAGCTAAACAGTGCCCCCAGTAGTCAGAAAACCAAGCAGAAATCCGCTGCTTAGTAACCCATTGCCTCTCTAAATACTGTAGCTGTGACATAGCAATGCCAGGAGCCAGCAGGGTCCAACCTAGGTCAGGAACCTGGAAGTATTGCCTTGCAGCACAAAGAAAAAACAAAAATGGTAAAAAACAGAATAATATTTCCTAGCGTTTGCATAAGAGAGAGGGGGAGAGGGAAGAATACGATGTTGTTGGTTGTTTCGGTTTAGTTCCACTTTAAGTAATACATTCATTCATGAAGAATTCCGTAATACATGTCTCACTTAGCGAATTACTGCAGAGGAGCTCCACCACCCTACAGGTATATACTGAATTGTGCAGCTGTCAATCACTGCAAAGCCTCCCCCATTTTCCATGTGTCACATCGGTTACTTGAGATGCAGAAGGGGCAAGTATAGAACAGTATTCCATCTGGCCAGAGATAGGACCTAATAGGAAGATATGTGTCTTCAATATCTGTAAAATAATGGCTTTGCTTAGCTCTCGGCTCTTCATGCTTTATATTTTAGGAATGCCGGTAGATGTCAACTCCGCTGCTTTCCGACTCTGGCAGATTCTTAATGGCACCAGCTTTCACGGCTGCATCCGCAACCTGTATATTAATAACGAGCTCCAGGACTTCACCAAGACTCAGATGAAAGCCAGGGGTAGTCCCAGGATGTGAACCCTGCAAAAAGCTCTTCTGCCTCCACGGTATTTGTCAACCCAACGCTGCCAACGGGCCGGTGTGCCATTGTGAGACAGGCTGGATGGGCCCCCACTGTGACCAGCAGATCAGTAATGCTTGCATGGGACATAAGTAAGTGTGGAGTGTTTCTAACCAAGCTACTGCATGATGGCTTTATCCGTACTGAAATTTTCCTTCTTCATCTCCACGCCTGTATTTTCTTTGAGGTCACTCATTGCTTCCTTGAATCTTGCACTTTAAATATAAGATGACCATATAGTCAAACCACCTTTCCAAATCTGACCCATCTGAAAAGTCAGTACCAGGGGCAAACTGACAACTCATAAGGCCCCCGGGCAATAGGGGATCATGGGGCCCCTGTGTCCTTGCCCAAACTCAAAAAAGTCTATGAAAAAGGTACCAGAGGTATCTCATTGGGCCCCCTACTGACCCCAGGCCTTCGGGCAGCGCCCGAGTTTCCAAATGGTCAGTCCACCCCTGATCAATACTAAGGGACAGCACCGGCAGCTGCTACATTTAGGATGAATGTATTCCTCCGGGTGCAGACAACCTCACAGTCCATCCTGGTACCTCAGTCATTCTAAATAGTCAAAACATTATTCTTTGTATAAAAAAGTACACCATTTATTTGCAACATATTGAAGTTAAAAACAACACAAATCCTTGAAAAAATTAGGGTCAGATGCATAATATATTGTACAGTAAACTATCTGAAAAGCGCTTCCATTACCAGTCCCCATATGTATTAAAATGGTTCATTAGTTTTTCTTGATCTTGATTGTTTGGGGCTGGAATATCTCATGCCATCTCAGTCACTTCCTCAGGAGACAGAGAAGATTTTTTTTTTTTTTTGCTGGCCCATGCTTGCCTCATAAAAACAACAATGGGATAGTTGCTGGACCGAATTTTTTTACATACTGTACAGTGACCTTTATTGCTAAGGTGTGGAGAGCATTTTGATGCCCTCTGCCTATGCTCAAACTGCTGTTATAACAATGGCTTTCTGGAGCAGCAAGTAAAGCCTGTGTTTTATCCAAGTCGAGAGGGACATCATAAGGCAAGTCAGCTCCAGTTGTGTTTATACTTCTCAGTATACGGCATACCCTTGGCACGATCTGGAGTCAGGCTTGGAGGCCGGTAGCTATAGCAGTAGCGAGGGTCCCACCGACCAGCTGAAAAAATACAGGAGCAGGTCACCCTGGTGGATGACATGTCATCTGAGGCATGAAGTCTAAGTACTAACTGGTATTCACCAGAGATCCTGATGGTGGAGATGGGTTATGCTGCATGTTAATACCAGGTCGTGGTCCTCAGGATTACCCAACCAGGAGGTGAGGAAGCCAGGGTCCAGTAGTAGATATAGCTGTTAGGGATCAAGCAGAAGCATAACCAGTAAACAAGCCAAAGGTCGGTAACAAGCGGTTGCAGGTTGAGATCAAGCAGATGTGTAGTCCAGTAACAAGCCAAGGGTCAGTAAAGAGTGGTTGCAGGTTGGGATCAAGCAGATGTGTAGTCCAGTAACAAGCCAAGGGTCAGTAAGGAGTGGTTGCAGGTTGGGATCAAGCAGAAACATAGTCAAGGAACAAGCCAAGGGTCAGTAAGGAGTGGTTGCAGGTTGGGATCAAGCAGAAACATAGTCAAGGAACAAGCCAAGGGTCAGTAAGGAGTGGTTGCAGGTTGAGATCAAATAGAAGTGTAGTCCAGGAACAAGCCAAGGGTCAGTAACGAGTGGTTGCAGGTTGGGATCAAGTAGAAGTGTAGTCCAGGAACAAGCCAAGGGTCAGTAACGAGTGGTTTCAGGTTGGGATCAAATAGAAGTGTAGCCCAGGAACAAGCCAAGGGTCAGTAAGGAGTGGTGCAAGTTGGGATCAAGCAGAAACATAGTCAAGGAACAAGCCAAGGGTCAGTAAGGAGTGGTTGCAGGTTGGGATCAAGCAGAAACATAGTCAAGGAACAAGCCAAGGGTCAGCAACGAGCGGTAGCGAAGATAAGGATGGCAGCAGGATAACATTAGCAAAATATTGGCTGAGGAGAGCAAAATAATCTGGCAAACAGGAAGTTCATGGGAGGAGCAAAGTGTTCAAGGTTCAAGACTAACAAGGTTCAAGACTAACAAGTTTCAAGGCAGGATCATTCAAGGTATTGTCCAGGGAGTTGCTCAGCATTCCAGGTGGCCCAGCAAGAAGAGACCTTGCCAGACAGAACAGAGGTCCTAGGCTTAGATCCAGGCTCTGGTAACCCTTCTCAGTCCGCATGGACTGTGATGTCCTGTCGGTACTTTTTTCATTAGAGTCCTATTGAATGTAATGACCAAAAATAGAGCCAGGCCAAAGTGTAGGCCTTCATTTTTTGTACCTTCTGCATCTCTCCCACCCAACTGTTTGAGCTGTGTCTGACCGTATATACCGCCTGCGATGATGGAGTTTTTTATATTTTAAATTTAAATGTTATTTATTTTAATATTTTCTAAAAGTGTGTATTTTTTTCACTTATATAGAATGATTGAGATACATGTATAGACCTAAAGGGGATGTTAATAGCGGTAGTATGTAAAATAATATAAAGGGATGGTGGAACCTTCCTCCACTACAAGTTGGCCATGTTACAGTCATAATAAGTCAAGCAATGCTTCAGTCCAAATGAAAGACTTCAGGCTGAAATACTGTCTGCATCTACTGGGATTATAGGTGCCCTCATGCATGGGTGTACCAGGTCTTGTAATTTGGGCTTTCAATGAACCGTGCGCTCCTATCTGCTTAGAGACCCAAGTGAAATATGGGATGGCACGTTCATGTCCTCTACAGCAGCCAATGGCTACCACAGTGAAGCTGCATTTCTCAGCATTACTAGAGTGTTCGATGACACTTGATGAACACGTAAAACCTGTGGAACTGCAAGACTATGGGGGTTATTTACTAAAACTGCATGGTGCAAAATCTGGTGCGGCTCCGCATAGAAACCAATCAGCTTCCAGGTTTTATTGCCAAAGCTTAACCAGTTGCCGCCCGGCCAATAGCACAAAAGCGGCCAAGCGAGCAGCTCGTCCCTCCGGGTGGACGCATATGGCATCCTTTCAGGCATGCGCACTGCGCCTGCCGGCAGAGCTGCGCAGCGGCGCGATCTGTCACCGGCCACGTACCTCGGACACAGCCGATGACAGATCTGAGTACCGGCCCCATTGCCAGTACCATGTGACCTGCTGTGACCAATCACAGCAGGTCACATGACAGTTGTATACAATGGATGGCTTCCTTTCATACCATCCATTGTATACAAGTGTGTCTAGCTGTGAATGGTCACAGCAATCACATGCACAAGCTGGGCAAATCACAGCCCAGCTGTGTCATGTGATTAGCTGTGGCCAAATCACAGTTAAGCACAAGAAAAAACCCTGAATGAATCGATTTCATTCAGGTAAATGCTTGCTTATAGCAAAGAAATTCTTTGCTATAAGAAAATTGTGTAAAAAAAAAAAAAAATACTGATCACTTCCCCAAAGTAAGTAGTACAATGTTACTATGGTAAAAGTATACTGCTTTGGTCATACTTTGGAAATATGAAAAAAAAAATCTTAAAAAAAGAGAAAAAAATCTAATAAAAAATAGTAAAAAAATAAAAAAAAATTATCAATTGTTTTTTTCATACTGTCACCAGTCAGTGTCCCTGATCACCGCCATGCCAGTTATATGATGGTGATGTACTGCACTGGTGACAATATGTAAAAAAAAAAAAATAGTGAAAATCATTTTTTTTTATTTCTTCAAAAATTATGACAAAAAAATTACAACTTCAAAAAACTCGCCATGCCTGTTATGAAATACGTCAGACTGTCTACTTTGCAAAAAAGTGTTAATTTGGGGGATATCTGTACTGTCCTGACATTTGGGGGATATCTGTACTGTCTTGACATTTGGGGGGATATCTGTACTGTCTTGACATTTGGGGGATATCTGTACTGTCTGACATTTGGGGGTATCTGTAGCGTCCTGACATTTGGGGGATATCTGTACTGTCCTGACATTTGGGGGATATCTGTAGCGTCCTGACATTTGGGGAATATCTGTACTGTCCTGACATTTGGGGGATATCTGTACTGTCCTGACATTTGGGGGATATCTGTACCGTCCTGACATTTGGGGGATATCTGTACTGTCCTGACATTTGGGGGATATCTGTACTGTTCTGACATTTGGGGGATATATGTACTGTCCTGACATTTGGGGGATATCTGTACTGTTCTGACATTTGGGGGATATCTGTACTGTCCTGACACTTGGGGGATATCTGTACTGTCCTGACATTGGGGGATATCTGTACTGTTCTGACATTTGGGGGATATCTGTACTGTTCTGACATTTGGGGGATATATGTACTGTCCTGACATTTGGGGGATATCTGTACTGTTCTGACATTTGGGGGATATCTGTACTGTTCTGACATTTGGGGGGATATCTGTACTGTCCTGACATTTGGGGGATATCTGTACTGCTCTGACATTTGGGGGATATCTGTACTGTCCTGACATTTGGGGGATATCTGTACTGTCCTGACATTTGGGGGATATCTGTACTGTTCTGACATTTGGGGGATATCTGTACTGTCCTGACACTTTTGGGGGATATCTGTACTGTCCTGACATTTGGGGGATTTCTGTCTGTCCTGACATTTGGGGGATATCTGTACTGTGCTGACATTTGGGGGGATATCTGTACTGTCCTGACATTTGGGGGATATCTGTACTGTCCTGACATTTGGGGGATATCTGTACGTCCTGACATTTGGGGGATATCTGTACTGTTCTGACACTTGGGGGATATCTGTACTGTCCTGACACTTGGGGGATATCTGTACTGTCCTGACATTTGGGGGATATCTGTCCTGTCCTGACATTTGGGGGATATCTGTACTGTCCTGACATTTGGGGGATATCTGTACTGTGCTGACATTCTTGGACCTCAAGAAATTAGATTGGCTGTCAGTACTTCAGGATTGATCAATATTCAGATCTATACCATCGTTTGTGAACTCTATAACTTTCCAACAGACTAAATAATACATCCTAATTTGGGTTATTTTCACCAAAGACATGTAGCAGAATACATCTCGGCCTAAATTTATGAAGAAAAATTATTTATTTGCAAACTTTTATAACAGAAACAAAGAAAAATATGGGTGTTTTTTCAAAATTTTTGGTCTTTTTTTGTTAATTTAGCAAAAAAAATAAAAACCCCGGCGGTGATTAAATTCCACCAAAAGAAAGCTCTAGTTGTGTGACGAAAGTGATAAAATTTTAGTTTGGGTACAATGTGTTGTATGACCGCGCAATTGTCATTCAAAACGTGAGAGCGCTAAAAACTGAAAATTGGCCTGGGGGCAGGAAGGGGGTAAAAGTGCCCGGTATGGAAGGGGTTGAACAAGCTGGAGTTAGAAGCTGATTGGCTCCCATGCACAGCTGCGCCAGATTTTGAGTGCTCCAATTTTAGTAAATCTCCCCCTTGCCTTCTTACTGCACCCCCAAGGTGGTTTTATTCTGCTGTCCTTTTAATGACATACAAGAAGAGAGAAGGTTAAAAGAGCTTAATCCAAACAACAAAATGTTGGCTGTTGCCATTTATATATATAAATATGCTACGTAGCCACCGTAGTAGGACCAGGTTTTTGTCCTTCTCTGCTGAAAACATGAATAACTGTTGTGTGTCTCCTGCAATGTCTTGTCCTTGCTGAGTGTCCTTGTGATTGTGAATATGTGAGAACTTTGTGATACCAATCCTTCTCTCTTGGTAGGTGCGTACACGGGACTTGTATGCCCCTGGATGCTCTGACTTACAGCTGTGTGTGCCAAGAAGGCTACAAAGGTGCTCTGTGCAACCAGCAAGCAGAACTCTACAATCCCTGCAAGAACCTTCAGTGCCAGCATGGGCGATGCCAGATCTCTGATGTGGGTGAAGCCTACTGCGAATGTGACAGCGGCTTTGAGGGCGAAGTCTGTGATCAGGGTAAGAAGAGTTCTGGATTTCCTAGCACATACACTCACTGGCCACTTTATTAGGTACACCTGTTCAATTGCTTGTTAACACAATTTGCTTGTCAACCAATCACATGGCAGCAACTCAATGCATTTAGGTATATAGACGTGGTGAAGACGACTTGCTGAAGTTCAAAACCGAGCATCAGAATGGGGAAGAAAGGGGATTTAAAGTGGAGTTCCACTCACGCTGTCAAAAAATAAAAGTCATCAGCTACAAAAACTGTAGCTGCTGACTTTTAAAAAGCATCCATTTACCTCTCCCTCGGTCCCGCGGTGTGTCCCTTGCAGCCTGATTCACCGGTCGTCCTGTATTCCTGGAGGCCGGCATCTTCAGTGTGGGCACCCGGCTGTGACAGCTTGCGGCTTCACAGCCGGGTAACCACTGTCCATGCGCGAGTAGCGCTGCGCTTCATGAATGGTCCAGTAGTCTTCTGGGACTTGTCACGTGTCCCAAAAGACTATAGGGAGGGAGGGAGGACACCTTACGCTTCCGATCACCTAGGCGATCAGACTGGAAAAGGGAGCGGGTACCTGTCAAATTCAGGTACCCGTTCCCCTCTCAACCCCCAAAGGTGCCAATCCGTAATGGGGAGTGGGGGAAGCAGTCCTTAAAGCGGAACCTCCCCTTTTGGATGGAGCTCCGATTTAAGTGACTTTGAACGTGGCATGGTTGTTGGTGATGCAAATTGCATCATGTGAAGCTTGTCGCCTAAAGGTTGCCTTGCCCTGGGCGATGACAACCCACACTGCACTAAAAATAGTCTGGCTCCTAACTTTTTTAGCTGTGACTTTGAATGTTTCATGGTTGTTGGTGCCAGACGGGTTGGTCTGAGTATTTAAAAAACTGCTGATCTACTGGGATTTTCACGCACAACCATCTCTTGGGTTTAAAGAGAATGGACCAAAAATAACCAGTGAGCTGCAGTTGTGTCGAGGAAAATGCTTTGTTGATGTCAGAGGAGAATGGGCAGTTTTGTTGCTGTGACATTCAGATGGTAAGGTCAGAATTTGGCATAAACAACATGAAAGCTTGGATCCATCCGGCCTTGTATCAACGATACAGGCTGGTGGTGGTGGTGTCATGGTGTGGTGGATCCATCCGGCCTTGTATCAACGATACAGGCTGGTGGTGGTGGTGTCTCGGTGTGGTGGATCCATCCTGCCTTGTATCAACGGTTCAGGCTAGTGGTGGTGGTGTCATGGTTTGGGGATCCATCCTGCCTTGTATCAACGTTCAGGCTTGTGGTGGTGGTGTCATGGTGTGGTGGATCCATGCCTGTATCAACCAGGCTGGTGGTGGTGGTTGCATGTGGGGGATCCAACCTGCCTTGGTTTAGGCTTGTGGTGGTGGTGTCATGGTGTGATGGATCCATCCTGCTTTGTATCAACGGTTCAGGCTGGTGGTGGTGTCATGGTGTGATGGATCCAACCTGGTGTCTCGGTTCAGGCTGGTGGTGGTGGGGTGGTGTCATGCGGGGGATCCATCCTGCGTTATATCAACGGTTCAGGCTGGTGTGGTGGTGGTGTCATGATGTGGTGGATCCATCCTGCCATTGTATCAATGGTTCAGGCTGGTGGTGGTGTAATGGTGTGGGGGAGATTTTCTTAAGACTAGCAAGTGTACCTAATAAAGCCGGTGAGTGTATATTGCTCATATGCAATGCGCAGCCTTTACAGCAAAGGAACATTTTTGCCAATTCTTGCCAAATCAGAAGAAATTCGAGCAGTGGGTGGCCCTGCAAGTACCACCTCAAAGAATAAGTGCTGCTATGAAGTGACTGGACTGGCAGCATCTTTTTAACATTACTTCCCCATTGCTCTTTTATTTGCTCAAATCTCAATGGAAATACCTTTTTTTGCACCTTTTTTTTTACAAGTCACCTTATGACTGCAAAGCTTCGGCAAGTGTGTCTGTCTGCACTGCTGATGGACCTTCATTCTTTCAGGACCAACAAAGCCTTAGAGCTATAGAAAAAAAGGTTGGATGATGTAAAACGGTCTAAGGATTGTCAGCCCTTCAAGGACAGACATACTCCCCCGAGCTTTGCAGTCACATGACTATTTGGAAAAGATTTCAAAAAGGTTTTTTCTGTTGAGTCTGTGAAGGTACTTCTGTATCCAGGTCATGGTATATCTAGTAGTAGTTAGTCACATTCAATTTGATTTGTTCGGTAATAATGAGGATATTTCTTAGCTTATACAAGCCACATCTTCAGTTCTGATGACTCCATCTACATCAAACTGGAACAACCAGCACTGAACAAGGGTGGGGGCTTTTGACACCATCTGTCCTCCACATGTAATGTTATTTTAACATCTCTACCCTGGCTTTTTGACAATACACACCTTCAACCATGTAAATTGAAGGATGGACATTTATGAAGCCTTCCTGACACCAAAGATGGGATTTTTTTTTTTTCAAGTCCACGAACGTGCGAAAAAAACAAAAAACCCGTAAGTGTACAAAAAACGTGCCAATGCAAAACCAACACAAAAAAGTGGTGTGCTTTGTCCATTTAGGGTGTGCTTTGTCCACCCCCTGAAGGGGTTGGATCTCTACCCTGATCCCCCGGGACACAAAGCTTCCTGACAGGGACAAGGTTTCCCATATGGTCCACCTAGCCAAAAGGCCTGGCGGTTCCGTGTGCCGAAAGCCAGCCACCAAGTACTTGGTAAGGGGGCTCTCCCGAAGAGAAAACCCCCTAGGGACAGGGAAGGAAGCAACCAAAAGGCCACACATCCTCCCCCTAGACTTTTAGGTCAGGCCCGTGGACCCACACCCTACCGTCCGGGAGAAAAAAACACACACATAAGTGAAAAAGTGACAAACGTGGGAGGTAAAATAAATTAAATAAATAAATAAGCGAAAATAAAAAAGTGACCGTGCAATTGTGCACTGGCTAGGCCCTGAGGCCCGTAGCAAAAAAAATTTCCCTGGACTTAGCTAAAAGGCCGAGCCCTAAAAGGCGCAGTGCAGAAAAAGTGTTTGAAACAGTGACCCTGTGCACGTTTTCACACGTTGGGGTCCCACACCCAAGTGTTACTAGGAGCACCCCTGAGGCGACCACTCTCAGGGGGCACTGGTTCATGGACTTTCTGCCTCCCCGGCCCCTGGCCAGACAAGGTAGATCCATTCAAACCAGGAGGAACTGGGCCCCTCCGGTTTTCCAGGGGGAATTACTCCCGGGCCCCAGCAGCCTGTGGGCGCCTCGGTTTCTTTTCCAGCCTGTACTAACCATCAGGACCCCCATCCTTCCAGCAGGAGTACTATACAACCAATCATCCCCGCAAGCAGGAATGATGGTGGAGCACCCCTAATGGACACTGATAAGAACAGATACTACACTTGATCTTAGCCAAAAGGCCGAGAAGCGACCAAAGATGGGATTATATAACTTGACAGAGCAGGTCCACAACTTTCACACCTCTCATTTTGTCTGTAGACAATAACATCTGCCTTTCCATGATGACTGGATCAAAGTGATGGTGGTACCAGGGGCGGACTGACAACTCATGGGGCCCCCGGGCAATAGGGGATCATGGGGCCCCTGTGTCCTTGCCCAAACTCAAAAAAGCCTATGAAAAAAGTACCAGGGGCATCTCATGGGGCCCCCTACTGACCCCGGGTTTCCAAATGGTCAGTCCGCCCCTGGGTCGACATTTGAATATAACTGTTGGGGTGTGTTCCTCACACTCAAAACAGAAGAAGTGTCTTAAAGAAGCTGTGAAACATCATCTACATTACAGAACAAGTCTAGTTGAATGTGACCAACTACTACTAGATATACTTGTCTAGTCCCTGTCTTCTCCATCATATGTCTGAACCATTGGTGCTTGTAACATGCTTCCCCTGCATGTCTCTGAAGATTCTCATTCATCCAGGTCATGGTGTTGTAGTAGTTGTTGGTCACATTCAACTGGACCTGTTCTGTAATGTTGAAGACATTTAATAGCTTCTCCAAGCCACTTCTTCAGAAGTGGCTTGGTAAGGTATGAAATGGTTTTCACATTATAGAACAGGTCCGGTTGAATGAGATTAAGTACTTTCTGAAAGTGCATGGAGGAGCTCCAGGCATACGATGAGCCTGCTCAATAGCGAAAAAAAATTTGGAGTAGGCTGAATTACTAAAAACATTCTGAGTTCTTGTTCAGCAAAGTCAGGAGGGTCTTGTCCTCCGGTTACTTTGGGGAATGTTGAGGTTACGCCATCTATTTCTATTCCCAGTGTCCTCAGCTCTAGTCTCATGGGATTTTACCTTAACAGACAGTGTATGCAATGCTTCTGTATGTTCCTTGGCAGCATCTTCCACAAACCCCATGTGCTGCTCTGTGGCAGATAAACGAGTTCTGATTTTGTCCAAATCACATCTGATCAGACCCACATCCGATTACAGATGATCATTCTTGGTCATGAGAGTGGTTTGGCAGTATAGCCAGATCTAGGGAGGTGCTGGGGTGGTCCCCCCAGATTTTAGTTGTGCCCAGGGACAGACTGACCAGTTGGAAACTTGGCTGCCCGAGGGCCTGGGGTCAGTAGGGGGCCCCTTGAGATGTGTGCTAACTAACTAAAAAAAAAAAAAAAAAAACCCCTGTTATAAACGCATACTGTTAGACAGGTTAATTCGGTTGTTAGCAAGCTGGCTGGCAAGTTGTCCAAGAACATTGTTCTCTCCCCCTTTTTTTCACTATGTGATGCCTGTTTATGTGTCCTTGCTTCATAAGCCAGTTATAGACTTGGGCGGGTGGCCACTTTTATGCATGTTTGAGTTTTTGGTACGTGGGTGCACTAGGGCCCTGGTTGCCATTGTGCTACATGCTGGGGTCCAGTGCACTCCTTTGCCTTTAAGAGGGGTGGCTCCCTCAGGTCCACCTGCCCTTGATCTATCCATTAAATGCATGTGCCTCTACTATGGGGACTCATAAATTTTAGAGTTAGGACCACAGATGATCAGGGTGCCGTGTCGTGGCTCTGTGGCTTACGTATGTATTTGCAAATGTGTGCTAACTAAACCCCTGTTATAAACGCATACTGTTAGACAGGTTAATTCGGTTGTTAGCAAGCTGGCTGGCAAGTTGTCCAAGAACATTGTTCTCTCCCCCTTTTTTTCACTATGTGATGCCTGTTTATGTGTCCTTGCTTCATAAGCCAGTTATAGACTTGGGCGGGTGGCCACTTTTATGTATGCGGCCCCTTGAGATGCCCCTGGTACCTTTTTCATAGGCTTTTTTGAGTTTGGGCAAGGACACAGGGGCCCCATGATCCCCTATTGTCCGGGGGCCCCATGAGTTGTCAGTCCACCCCTGGTTGTGCCCCCCCCCCAAAGCCAACCCTAACCTTCCACTATACTGCCCTAACCTGCTACTTGCTGCCCTAATCTGAAACTATACCACCCCAATCTGATACTTTCTGGCCCTCCTGCCACTATACTGTCCTTGACTGATACTATACTGATCTCAGTTATGCATTGTGTGGGAAGGAGGACCTCTTCTGCCTGTGCCCAGGCTGTGTGTAGGGATGGGAGAAGGAGCTGTGCCCCTGTCCTTTGCCCTGCCAGCATTGTCCTCTGCCCCTCTTACATTTATTACTGCACCCCCACATCGGACAGGCTAGATGCGGCCCTGTGTGGCAGGTGTTTATTGCAGCCATAAATCAGCCTGTGTCCCTTCTAAGGCCTCGGAGTCAGTCAGTGTTGCCATGTTAGATGTGAAGACTGCAAGCCCAGGGGGTGTAATGGTGGAACGGATTGTGCCTGAGGAGCAGATTGTACTCACAATTAACTTGCCCTTTGTAATAACCTCAGCACTATGGGGGAATTCGAGGAGACAGCGGTGGTGGTCATATATCAGTCCAGCATGAGGAGAAAGACTATTATTTGCATAGGCATTTGCTGCCTATAATTGCATATAGGAAGCAGAGTTCCAGATTCAAGTGTCCGCCATCTTGGACACACCCTGAGACTAACTACCACTGGATGTATTTCCATTGAGATGTATGCAACAAATACAAGAGCAGTGGGAAGGCAACATCAATGGGTAGTGTTCCATTTTTTTTTTTACTGCTTGGGGAGGTGTCCACATAAAAAATTTTTCCATGGGGCCCTGTGATTTCTAGTTACGACCCTGGAACCTAGTAAGCCTTTTATGAAGAGTTGTATTTGTTTCACAACAGGTTTATTGAATTTTTCCAGCAGAGTATATTGAAATGGCACAAGAATCGTAATATTCAGACTGTAATGGTAACAAAAAGATCGCATTAGCCATATTATCAAAAAGAGAGCAAATAATGTTTACAGTGTGGTGGGCTTCATAGTGCAGAAAGGCTTGGGTGGTGGGTTCATAGCCTTTTGGGTGCAACGAATATCGCCATGTGCATGGTTGGAGGGAATGCGTATTTTAAGGATGTATCAACACAATGAAGGGGTAGAGAAAAGGACAAAGATCAAGAGGGGAAGGCTAAGTACTAGGGCAGGGGTGTCAAACTCCTTTTCATTGCGGGCCGCATCAGCTTTATGGTTGCCCTTAAAAAGCCAGTTGTATCTGTAAGACTAGATGTGCCCAGAGCAGGGTGCCCCCGTTACAGTAGATGTCACAAGCCCTCCCACCATCAGAAGTCAAGAGTCCCCCACTCTGCTTTACATCACAGCGCACCCCCATTACCTTGTGCTGCTGCCAAGAAGAAGCTGGGAAGCAGAAAGTGCGGGGTCTGGAGGAGGACCAGAGGAGAGCTGGAGTCAGTGCTGAGAACAGGGGAGGTGGAGGTGAGGGGGAGCTGTGGCTGCACAGAGAGGGACAGAATCTGTAAGAGGAGTTCTGTCCTCCTCTCTGCTGCCCACTGCTGAGACGGGGCAAAGACGAGCCTCTCTGTGGATGCACAGAGAAGCACAGGATCTAGTGGAGGAGTTCTGTCCTCCTCACTGCTGCCCACTGCTGTGGCAAGGTGGGGCAGAAATGAGGAGGGTGCCACAGCTGTGGGAGTGGTGTGAGGGTGACAATAAATGGTCTGACGGGCCATACTCGGCCTACGGGCCTTGTGTGTTTGACACATGAACTAGGGAGAGAATAGTGGAGAGGGCTAGGGCGGAGGTAGGCAACCTGTGGCTCTCTAGCTGTTGTGGAACTAAATTTCCCATGAGACATTGCAAAATTGACAGTTACAGTTATGACTTGCTGAGGCATGATGGAACTTGTAGTCCAGCAACAGCTGGAGAGCCGCAGGTTGCCTACCCCTGGGCTAGGGGAATATGGGAAATGGGGTAGGTATAGGAGATCCCATGAGGCCCAGCCTATAGCAGAGTCCATGTAGTGGATAATTATAGCAAGGAGGGAGCAAGTGCCTATTATAGTCCAACCATGGGCTCCTAATCTTCTGATATTTTGCATGAACAGGGGCAGACTGACTATTTGAGCACCCAGGGTCAGTAGTGGGCCCCATGAGATGCCCCTGGTACCTTTCATTGACTTTTTCATAGGCTTTTTTGGGTGTGGGCAAGCACACAGAGGCCCCATGATCCCCTATTGCCTGGGGGCCACATGAGTTGTCAGTGCGCCCCTGTGCATGAGTATCAGTCAGTATGGAGGTTAGCTTTTCATGGTCCCCATAAGTCTTCGGCAAAGTGTATGGATGTGCTTCTCCAAGCTCTGGCTAGAGTTGGTCAGGCTGCAAGAAACACAAACCCCGCCATCTTTGCTTCGGGTTTGTTCAGGTGTGGCCAGTACCCGGACAGCTTTGGCTAGCACCCAGGTCAAGGAATGCGGAACTGCGCCTCCTCCACCACTGTTAATGGTTTTACTGCCCCCCTGCTTTGCTGTGGCCAGGTCTTCTTCTCCTCCTGCCCACCCCTTGTCCTGGGCCTAGGTGTGGGATTGATGGTCTTTCCAAGGGTGAGGATGAAGAATTGTATTTGTTGGACTGTTTTTATTGTATTTTGCGTGGATCTCCGCAGCTGACAGAAGAGAGAAACACGAAAGCCTTTCCTTACAATGAATATTTGACGAATTGTTATGTTTCAGCGACAGATCAGCTTTAATTACACACGCTCATTAACCAGAAATGATTGCCGTCTTAATAAAGAAAACATAAACACAATTAACACTTCACCATTTCACACGTTTTTTTTTTTTTTTGTTTTTTTTTTCTCCTTTTCTTTTCACGCAGAGTCAGAGTGTAGAGGGGAGCCCGTCCGGGATTACTACCAGGTGCAAAGAGGGTACGCCATTTGCCAAACCACGCGGGTGGTGTCTTGGGTGGAGTGCCGGGGCTCCTGCCACAACCAAGGCTGCTGCACGGGGCTACGCATGAAGCGCAGGAAGTACACGTTCGAGTGCAGCGACGGATCCTCCTTCGTGGAAGACGTAGAGAAGCCAATCAAATGCGGGTGCTCCCAGTGTATGTAGGATCTTGACGGACTGGATTTTATTTGCCTAGATCATATCACACACCGGACACACGCGAGAAGAGAAAACGAAAAACGGACAATGACGTGATGTAAAACTGGACTTTGCTTCCCCATTCAGATGTGTGAAAACATCTTAATGTCTGTGGCATCTATAAAAAAAAACAAAAAAAAAAAAAAAACAAAAAAAAAAAACACAAAAATTCTATGTATACCTACTACATTGAGAGACAGGCACACATACTGACTGGTTGTATAGTGTTGTAATGTTTGGGAGAGGTATAGAAGGTATATATGTAGAGGCTTAAAATGTGTAGATAGAGATTTTTTTAAGAAAACACAAAATGTATTTATACACAATGTGGATAGATTTACACGGAGTTCGAAGGAAGCTTTATGGGTTTTTTTTTTTTTTTTTGGTTTTTTTTTTGGTTTTTTGTTTTTTTGGAGTTAGAACAATTTTTGTAACCATTGTGACAGTATTGCAATTTTTTTTTTTTTTATTTTATATTTGTATAGCTCAGAAAATGTTCTACAGATATACTTTCCTGTTCTATAACTTCTCCTTGGGGAAAAAAAAAAAAAAAGGTATAACGTAGCGGGGGGGCGTCACATCGACTTCATAAAGCACTTTCTTTTGTCTGTGAAATTCAGCCGAATAATGTTTTGGGGTTTTTTTTTTTTTTTGTTTTGTTTTTTTTTTTTTCATTAATTTAGAGATGCGTGTTATGTAGCGTTATATCTGCTTTTCAAAAAAAAAAAAAAGTTTAATATATACCAGCAGCTTCCATTAAAAGTGGTGAGGTCGCCCCGTGGCGCGGCGGAAGCAGGCGTTCTGTGGGCTGCGATGAAAGTGAGTTTTGATAGGCTGTGTACCCATTTTGACGTTAGTCGTTCCTAGCCGATGGAAAAGCCGAACGTTTGCTTCATCCCCCCACACAATGGCTGCCTCCGTGCCTATGGAGGACGGCGGCACTTTAAATGCGAGCGATCTCGAACGTAAACGTTTATCTCATCAGTTCTGAGTGTTACAAGTTTGGACTGACCTCTGAATCGAAGTTATAGACAAAATGTAAACCTTATTTTAGAAAGAAAAAAAAAACTTTTCATACAATTTTTTTTTTCTGAGATGCTCTGTGGACTTCTCTTGTTGTATTTCCGGTTCTGATCATTGGCTTGGCTTTGCTCTTGACCTGCTTTTGAAGAAGTATTTTTCCCGTCGCACATCTACAGATCACGGTGTTTGAATTACACGGCGTGCCATAAAGTGTTTGCTGTTCAACCTGTGCCATCCAACTGCATATGAATCGAATATCTTCACCTTACGCTGCACATTGTTGGAATCGTTGCTCTGTGAAGCGGGGGTCTCCAAACCTTTCACTAGGAGGGCCACATGGTATATCTTTGAAAATATTTGCGGTTTGAAAGAAAAAAAAAAAACAAACAGTTTTTATAAATAAATAAGATCCCACTTACAACAAGGTGCCCTTACATCAGGGTCCCTATCAGAGTGACCCCTTACATCAGGGAACCCATCAGAGTGCCCCCTTACATCAGGGAACCCATCAGAGTGCCCCCTTACATCAGGGTCCCTATCAGAGTGACCCCTTACATCAGGGAACCCATCAGAGTGCCCCCTTACATCAGGGAACCCATCAGAGTTGCCCCCTTACATCAGGGTCCCCATCAGAGTGCCCCCTTACATCAGGGTCCCCATCAGAGTGCCCCCTTACATCAGGGTCCCCATCAGAGTGCCCCCTTACATCAGGCTTCCCATCAGAGTGCCTCCTTACATCAGGGAACCCATCAGAATACCCCCTTACATCAGGGAACCCATCAGAGTGCCCCCTTATATCAGAATCCCCACCAGAGTGCCCCCTTACATCAGGGTTCCCATCAGAGTGCCCCCTTACATCAGGGAACCCATCAGAGTGCCCCCTTACATCAGGGAATCCCCATCAGAGTGCCCCCTTTTATCAGAATCCCCACCAGAGTGCCCCCTTACATCAGGGTTCCCATCAGAGTACCCCCTTACATCAGGGAACCCATCAGAGTGCCCCCTTACATCAGGGAACCCATCAGAGTGCCCCCTGATATCAGAATCCCCACCAGAGTGCCCCATACATCAGAACCACCATCAGAGCCCCCTTTTATATCAGGGTCCCCATTACATCAAAGACCTCCCTTTTATCAGGGTCTGTATCAGGTCTCTTACATCAGGTTGTCCACCAGAGTGTCCCTTTACATCAGGATCCCCATCACAGTGCCCCCTTACATCAAGGTCCACACCAGAGTGCCCCATTACATCAGAATCCCCATCACAGTGCCCCCTTACATCAGGGTCCCCACCAGAGTGCCCCCTTACATCAGGATCCCCACCAAAGTGTCCTCTTACATCAGGATCCCCATCACAGTGCCCCCATATATATGGGTCCCCACCAGAATGCCCCCTTACATCAGGGTCCTCACCACAGTGCCCCCTTACATCAGGATCCCCATCACAGTGCCCCTTTACATCAGGATCCCCATCAAAGTGCTCTATACATCAGAATCACCCTTCGATTCCCTTTACATCAGGATCCCCATCACAGTGCCCCTTTACATCAGGATCCCCATCAAAGTGCTCTATACATCAGAATCACCCTTCGATTCCCCTTTACATCAGGCTCTCCATCAGAGTGCCCCTTACATCAGGGTCCCCATCAAAATCCCCCTTTCATCAGTGTTCCCCATCAGAGTGCTCCATACATCAGAACCACCATCAGAAGCCCCCTTAAAATCAGTGCCTCCATCATTTGGGGTCCCCTCTTATATCAGGGTCCCCATTAGAGTCCCCTTTTATATCAGACATCCCATCAAATTCCCCATTACATCAGAGCCCCCCTTATATCAGGGTCTCCATCAGAGTACCACTTTATGTCAGGTTCCCATCAGAGTCCCTATTACATCATAGTCCCTACTTATATGAGGCTCTGCATCAGAGCCCCCCTTTATATTAGTTTATATCAGGGTCTCCTATCAGAGTCCTTATTACATCTGAGCCCATCTTATATCAGGGTCACACCTTATATTGTGCTCTTCATCAGAGATCCTCTAACATCAGGTCAAAGAGTACACCATAGGCATCCTCTGCTGGGCTGAATTCTAAACCTGCGTACATTGAGAACATGCTACTGACCATAGCTGTGGGCCGGATCTGGCCCATGGGCCGTAGTTTGGAGACCATAGCTGTGGGCTGGATCTGGCCCATGGGCCGTAGTTTGGAGACCATAGCTGTGGGCTGGATCTGGCCCATGGGCTGTAGTTTGGAGACCATAGCTGTGGGCCGGACCTGGCCCATGGGCCATAGTTTGGAGACCACAGCTGTTAGCCAGATCTGGCCCATGGGCCTTAGTTTGGAGACCACTGCTGTAAAGGATTCATATTTCCAAGTGAATGTAAAAACAAATGGTGAAAACTAATGTACAGATAGCAGGGCCTGGGGATGGCTTGGTGTAAGGATTGTCAATGTGCACATAAGAAAGTGGTTTGTGGGGTGGGAGTGGGGAGGGAGAAGGCAACAACTAGCTAAATATACCATCAGACAAATAAAGGGCATCTGGGACTTTTAGGTGTACCAGTTTTAGAATATGCCCATCTCCCCTGGTATCTGCTCAACCCACATTTCTTTTTCTCTTACGTTAGTTGAATATATATCATGGCGTGTACAGCAATCTTCAAGGAACCTTAGGCATTTCCAGTAAATATGGGGTTAAAAAAACAGAAGAAAAAGAAAAAAGGCTGCACACCTGGCTGGCTAACCTCAAATGAATTTTATTATGCACCATAAACAGTTGTAGACCATCAGATCTATGACAATCCTACAAAACAGAGAACTCCTCTTCCTCCTCATAGTGAGGGGGGTGACAGGACGGGAGGGTCCTCCATCTGGGGAGGGGGTGTGTTGTGGGTTTCCTGGGAAAGGGGGGGTTGTTGGGGGGTTGGGAGTGTTCGGTGGGGTGGGTGGTGTCAGTGGTTGGACTTTGAAGGGTTGGGGTAGGTAAGTCCCAGTGGACTACTTTCCATTTTGGTCCGTTCTTGAGGATTCTCCCTCTTGAATTCTCTGGTGGGTGGTGTCAGCGGTTGGACTTTGAAGGGTTGGAGTAGGTAAGTCCCAGTGGACCACTTTCCATTTTGGTCCGTTCTTGAGAGTTCTCCTTCTTGAATTCTCTGGGGGGGTGGTGTCCTCTGTTTTGTAAGATTGAAGAAAATGGAAAGTAGTCCACTGGGACTTACCTACCCCAACCCCTCCCACTGACCCCCAATGTAAGGAGCATTCTTCCCACTGATCACCAATGTAAGAGACATTCTTCTCACTGACCCCCAATGTAAGGGACATTCTTCTCACTGACCACCAATGTAAGGGACATTCTTCCCACTGACTCCCAATGTAAGGGACATTCTTCCCACTGACCCCCAATGTAAGGGGCATTCTTCCCACTGATCACCAATGTAAGGGACATTCTTCCCACTGATCCCCCAATGTAAGGGACATTCTTCCCACTGATCACCAATGTAAGGGACATTCTTCCCACTGACCCCCAATGTAAGGGACATTCTTCCCACTGATCACCAATGTAAGGGACATTCTTCCCACTGATCACCAATGTAAAGAGCATTCTTCCCACTGATCACCAATGTAAAGAGCATTCTTCCCACTGATCACCAATGTAAGGGACATTCTTCCCACTGACCCCCAATGTAAAGGGACATTCTTCCCACTGACCACTAATGTAAGGGGCATTCTTCCCACTGACCCCAATGTAAGGGACATTCTTCCCACTGACCTCCAATGTAAGGGACATTCTTCCCACTGACCACCAATGTAAGGGACATTCTTCCCACTGCTCACCAATGTAAGGGACATTCTTCCCACCGACCTCCCCAATGTAAGGGACATTCTTCCCACTGACCACCAATGTAAGGGACATTCTTCCCACTGATCACCAATGTAAGGGACAT